TATACCTCACCTCTCGCTCGCTGTTTATATTCCACGAATCCACTCGCCGCTTCCAAGCTTTATTGTAAAACCCTAAACCCTAACTATCAGAAATCTCCAGCAAGCGCCAATTCCCCGATCATGGCAACCGCCGTCTTGCTCAGATCCCTCCGCCGTCGCGATTTGGCTACCTCATCTCTATCGGCCTACAAGGCTGTAAGTAATCATTTTTACATATTGTCCAATTGTTACACATATATGATTTCTCTCATACACGTTAAGGATGTCTGTTTTATTCGCAATTGTATTCACGGGTTAGATTCAAAATTTGTTGTCTCTGTGTGTGATGTAATTTAGCTCGGATCATAGATTTGCGATCTATTTCTTCAGTGGAGAAAGCAGAATTTTAGATAATAGAGATCGATAGATGTTCGCGATTTGTTTGCCTGATTCACTGTTTGGAATGACATAACCCTTATTTTTCAACCGTTTCTGGCTCAATTGGCCATTTCTCTGAGCTAGCTTCTTATCACGTTTTGCTGTTGTGCTGGTTATTCATATCCTGAACCTCTGTTCACATGTATTATGCAGTTTAGTACCAAAGCTATTCCTTCATACCCCTCATCCGTTGGTGGTGCTAGATGGGCATCCCTTGCAAGACAATTTAGGTACTCTATATTCATTTCAGGAGTTTTTTTTAATGTGTATTTTTCATTTCTTGTAACTTGAAATCTGTTCGTTTTTTTGCAGCTCAAAATCTGCTGGGAATGATATTATCGGCATTGACCTGGGTACAACAAACTCATGCATTGCGGTAATGGAAGGCAAGGTAAGACCGATCCAGTTGTTAATCCAATTGTTGTTTGCTCACTTAAAAGCAACACCTGTTAAAGCAGTGATGTTAACTATCTTTGGGTTTTTATTATGTGTGCAATTGTTTTGTAGACACCCAAGGTGATCGAAAATTCTGAAGGGGCTCGAACCACACCATCTGTAGTTGCTTTCAATCAGAAAGGAGAGTTACTTGTTGGCACACCAGCCAAGCGTCAGGCAGTCACAAATCCAGCGAACACTGTATTTGGGACCAAGCGTCTAATTGGTAGACGTTTTGATGATCCCCAAACACAGAAGGAAATGAAGATGGTTCCTTACAAAATTGTGAGGGCTCCAAATGGAGATGCTTGGGTGGAAGCAAATGGACAGCAGTATTCTGCAAGTCAAATTGGAGCCTTTGTTCTTACCAAAATGAAGGAAACTGCAGAATCTTATCTTGGCAAGACTGTGACCAAGGCTGTAGTAACTGTTCCAGCTTATTTTAATGATGCTCAGAGGCAGGCAACAAAGGATGCTGGAAGAATTGCTGGCCTTGACGTGGAAAGAATTATTAATGAACCCACTGCTGCTGCACTTTCTTATGGCATGAACAACAAAGAGGGTCTAGTTGCAGTTTTTGATCTTGGTGGTGGTACCTTTGATGTTTCAATTCTTGAGATCTCCAATGGTGTTTTTGAGGTAAATGAAATTGTGAATGCTTGCCTATGTTAACCCTTCATTTTGGCATTATTACATGTTATCTGTTGACTCCGGTCTCCTAAGTCTGCTTCTTTCGTTCAGCTTTCCTTTGCATTTCCATATTCAATTTCTGGTTTTTGAGTGTTCCTTTTGTTTTGAGATGGGGTCTTTAGGAAACAGCCTTCCCCAGACCCACTTTATTGGACTTTACTAGGTCTGTTATTGTTGATGTGTTGGTTCTAAACTATGATTTTATCATGTATTATTTTCACACAGGTAAAAGCAACCAATGGGGACACCTTTTTGGGAGGAGAGGATTTTGACAATGCCTTGTTGGATTTCTTGGTCAATGATTTCAAGAGAAGTGAGAATATTGATCTTTCAAAAGATAGACTTGCATTGCAAAGGCTCCGGGAAGCAGCTGAGAAAGCTAAAATAGAGCTTTCATCAACATCTCAAACTGAGATCAATTTGCCATTCATCACTGCTGACGCTTCCGGGGCGAAGCATCTAAATATCACTCTGACCAGATCGAAATTTGAGGCTTTGGTTAATCATTTGATCGAGAGGACAAAGAATCCCTGCAAGAATTGTTTGAAGGATGCAGGAATTTCTGTCAATGAAGTGGACGAGGTGCTTCTTGTTGGCGGTATGACCCGTGTCCCAAAGGTGCAAGAGGTTGTTTCTGAGATATTTGGGAAGTCTCCAAGCAAGGGAGTGAATCCTGATGAGGCGGTCGCAATGGGAGCTGCAATCCAAGGTGGAATTCTTCGTGGGGATGTGAAAGAGCTGCTTCTTCTAGATGTTACTCCGTTGTCTCTTGGTATTGAGACTTTGGGAGGGATCTTCACAAGGTTGATTAACAGGAACACTACCATCCCAACAAAGAAAAGTCAGGTACCATCACCATCATCATCGTGATATACTCCGTAGATATTACCCAATTTCGTCCCTTAAATGCATGGAATTACTACATCCGATCCTGTTTTTGGACTAAACTGTGAAATTACTTTTAAATAAGGCAATTAAATAATCAACTATATAATGTACCAAATGGCAGTGTCTATTGGGTTACTGAATATGGTATTTACTGTTTTTTGAGAAATCACCAAATAATTAAGCAAGCACTACTCATTTTTCTTTTACTTTTAGGTGTTCTCTACTGCTGCCGACAACCAAACACAGGTGGGCATCAAAGTTCTACAAGGAGAACGTGAAATGGCATCGGACAACAAACTCCTCGGTGAATTTGAGCTTGTGGGGATCCCCCCTGCCCCGAGAGGCATGCCACAAATAGAGGTGACATTCGACATTGATGCCAACGGCATTGTAACAGTTTCAGCCAAGGACAAGGCAACTGCAAAAGAACAGCAGATAACCATCAGGTCATCCGGTGGGCTATCAGAGAGCGAGATTGAGAAGATGGTGCATGAGGCTGAGATGCATGCCCAGAAAGACCAAGAGAGGAAGAATCTGATTGATGTGAAGAACAATGCAGACACGACCATCTACAGTATCGAGAAGAGTGTGAACGAGTACAGAGACAAGGTGCCCAAGGAGGTCATTTCTGAAATCGAGTCTGCTGTTTCGAATCTGAGAGCAGCCATGACCGGCGACAATGCGGATGACATCAAGTCCAAACTTGACGCTGCAAATAAGGCCGTTTCAAAGATCGGAGAGCACATGACTGGCGGTGGGTCTGGTGGTGCCGCCTCCAGTGGTGGTGCCCAAGGCGGCGAACAGGCCCCCGAGGCTGATTACGAGGAAGTCAAGAAGTAGAGTGGATGGATTCCCATATAATACTCGCATTAGCTTTTAAGTTTTGAGACTTAATATCTATCCCATTTGCTTATTCTCTTTTCTAGATAACGAGGCTCCCATTCATTCAGATGCCTCTCTTGTCTGCCATTTTCTGGAATACTTTGTATCTAAACTTTAGAAGCCATTTGGGGTTTTCATATTCTTCATTGGTTTGAGTTTTGCTTTTGTCCAATCCAATACAAAGTCTTTGCCAGGAGGATGCTGAATTCCACAGAACAAAAAAGATGTGGATTGGAATAATAATGTAATTTACCATCTTATTTGCTTTATTATAGCTATTGCAGGTGAAGTTTAGGTCATGCTTCCTTCTCGTTTAGCCTTAAACATGCACTCTGGATAACCATGTTTGGACTTCATTATCAGTTTAGAACTTGCACATAAGTGCAGATTCTTTTTTATTCTAGCTCACCAAGTTTTGTGGCTTAAAATTGCTTGACATTTGAGGTGCATTCTCCTTGAAAGGGTGGTTCTGAAACTTGGATGATGTTGCCTTGGTGTAGATGAATTTACTCTTGCATTTTGGGATGAAATTAAAAAGAAAGTGGTATTTGAACAATCAAGAGAGTATTAGTCTATTTGAAAGGTGGTTTGTCCATAGAAATCTGGAGCGTTTTCTTTACTCAAGAAAAATGTAATGTGCATTACTTTTTCAGGTTCTTGGCTCTAGTAAGAAGAAACATTGATTGTTATGTGCATGTAGAAGTCACCCCAACTCTCGTCTCACTTTCCAACTTCTAATATTTTCACAAATATTCAACACTAACATGTCGATAAAAAATATGAGATAGAAATATGTTGAGAATTAGGGTGCCATGCCTATTTCTTAAGGTTGTGCGGTGTGGCATCGGCGTGGAGGGCCCTGAAAGGAAACCCTCCCACCCCCCACCCCCCCCCCCCAATTGGGACTCGGCGTGGAGGGCATGTACACGGTCTTCTTCTTAACCTAATTTTTATTTTTCATTTTTTTCCCAAATCTGACCTCTTTTCTTTTTAGATCCAAGTTTTACTTTTATTTTTTTATTTTTGGGTTTCAGTTTTATTTTTTGATTTCTGTTTAAACTTCTAATTGTTTTAGTTTAATTTTAAAAAATAAATAGTGTAATTTTATAAAAGTATTATTTTAAAACTAAAATTTATATAAAGAATAAGAATGGAACAAGGATCTACACCCCTGAATGGAGATAGAGATGAATATAACACTCAGTTGGATCGTGGTTTTAGAGGGAAAATAACAAACGAACTAGTGTATTTAAAATGGATTCCAGGGTGGGGATTTTTTTTGTATTCATTGGACAATAACTTCAAATTCTAGCTTTAACATTTTAAAGGCTATATAATGACATTTAAGTTGAGCACTCTCAAGGTTTTTCTGTACCATTAATCTGTTGTTAATTTCCTCTTGAGCACTTCAAATTTTAACTTTAACATTTTAAAGGCTCGTAGTTTTAAAGTGCTCTTGTTAGGATCCCATTTTAGTACTCTGCGGACAAGAGGAAGTATTACTGTTTGACAATACATCATGTACAAAAAAACTCTATAGATTTCAGTCCAAATTAACATGTTTCCATTTTTTTTCTACAAGTGAGACAGAGCACAGTTGGGCAAATTTCCAACGTGAAAAGAAGACTCCCTAACTCATACCAATGAGAAAAAAAATACTATGGGAAAAAAGGGGGGGGGGGGGGGTACCAACAAACTCCTTCTCAGTATACAATAGAGCTTTACTCCAACCATACATTTGTTTCACACTCCAGCTGCACTGCAAAGTTCTTCAACTCAGTAAAGGCCAATCAAAGCATTGGGTTTTCTCACTTCCATCTCCTGGAGAAAAGTTCACTCTGATAAAGTTGCAAAATTGAAAGTCAGAACACTTGGTCACAATAGTCAAGTAATACACATGCAAATTGAGAGTCCGTTTGGTACACAGAATTGAAATTGAATTGGAAATTGAAATTCTATGAAATTGATTTAATTCCAATTCATTTTTGGCACTACAAATTCCAAATCTACATATTTTTGTGCTACCGAATTGGAATGATTGTCACCAATTCCAATTCCATAGTTTGAATTCCGTGAACCAAACGGAGCCTAAGTGAAATTGGTCTATACAGCCATGTCTTGCCCCAATATTAGACTTCGCACCCATTTTCTTTTTTAGCATGGAGTCCAAAAACTAGTGTGGGGTGCAAAGTCTAATAGGTTCGCTCTGGGTATGAAAAAATTGGACATGGGTAAAGCATGATGTGCGAAGGACCAATTTTACCTAAGAAGAATAAGTCACATTGGTACATACCCTTGTTGGATAACACATACTTAGTGAAGGAACAACATAGTGAAGCAAACACAATGCTCAAGCTGCATATACAAGACTAATCAGAGTAGAAGAGTCAAGACTGTGCATCATCGGGATCAGAATCACTACTTGAAGAACTTCCTGAATCAGAACCTGTAAATATAATCAATAATATCACAATTCGTGCCAAGAAATGTGTTCCTAACCGCAAGGCAGCAACATGTGATCACTGGAAGAGCTGCTCTAAAAGGGGTAAATACCACTAGATGACGATGAATCACTGGAAGAGCTACTACTTTGGTTGTCATGCTCCCGGACAGCAACCACATCTTCCTTCTCAATTTCAACAGGGGCAAAGCTGGATGCAGGTATATCATCACCTATATCAATATCTTCTTCCCCAAATTCAACCACTCTAGGGTTCTCCACTGAATCAAGCTTACCCACCAAATTAGCCTGCCAACAGGTTAAGATGTAAGCCACTTATTCTCTATATTAATGGAGGTTTTTAGAGGATTTTGAGTGGTCCAGTAATGCAATTTTCATTATTATATTATACCTTTTAGGTCATTTTACATTTACTGTATGTATGTGTGTGTGTGTGATGAAGGTAAACAGGGATCCAAGTTGATCAGGTTTGAGGTAAGTATGAGTTCAACTCTTTACTCATTGATTCGACTTGAGGAAACATAATATGTGATCATAGTATAAAAAAATTGAATAGCCCTTTATTCATTTTAAAACACATTTTATTTCCAAGATATTCTATTTCTATTTGTAGAGATATAGACTAAGCTATCTCAAACTCTCCATCCAAATTGACCCTGAATGTCAAGACAATAAGATGATGAACACATCCTAGTTAGTACGGACTACGGAGTACTTAAAAAAAGATTTCAGAGCGTCTAATTTTTGTTTGAAGATTCTCATCAAGGACGTGGGAAAAAAGAGGTAGAAAATGTGTTACCTGATCAGTCTCAGCATTGGATGTATTCTGGGTTGAATTATAATCACCCAAAGCTTGTCTTTTTGTCTTGCTCTCTGCCTTTTTACAATTGGTTACAAAGCGATCAAGCTCCCAGAGTGTCTCTGTGTCCAGAGCCTCAATGTCCAGCTCAATTTCATCACCATCTTGAGCCATATGCTCATTTCTCTTTCTTATAATTTGCAACAACTGTGGCATCCTCTCTTCAGGTAGATTCTGCAACCCAAATCCAAGTTTATGTTTTTCATCCATAGTCATCTCCCTCTTGTTGTTTAGATCTTTAGCCCTTGGCTTGGGTTGTTTTCCCATTGACCCACTCTCTGGAACAGGCATCCCATGGGATTCCTGGTGGACATGAGGAGGTGGAACTGAATGTGTTGAAGCACTGGTTTGACTTTGTGAGATCTCTTGCTTCTTAAAAACCTGAGGAATTGGAGTAGCATATGGCTTCTTAGAAATCTCAGGCACTGAAATGTGATTCAAAAAGCTGCTATGGAGCTCGTCATTGCCCGGAAATACCCTTCTTTCAGGCTCAAATTTGGAAAGCTTGTCTTCTATAGGTCTGAATAACTCCTCAAATCTAGTTAGAAGAAGGTCACCCCATCCATGAACATCATCTGTTTTCGGGTTGTACAGCAAGGCATTATTAAAAGTGAGCCTCACATCAGCAGCAAATTCAACTGGAGTTGGATAAAGATTTTTTTGCAAATTGGATTTCACAGTCCCTAAATCCATTGGCCTCTTAATAATCTGGCGATAATCAGGAAGACCCAGCCCTTCTGCATCTACTGGAGAGCTAAAAACCCAGCAATGTTTATGCTTCATTAGCTTTGCTAATATTTGCCTACAAGTCTTCATCATATTCTCCATCTCAACTACACCTATGCCACCACGAATGACACCTACATTCATATCACTATAACCATTTGATAACTCTCTATTCCCAGAAAATTTCTGAGACTTCCCTTGAGTTCTTGGATTGGTAGTGCAGGTGCTGAATTGACCCGACTCAATCCGATCTCTGAGGTTCCGGACCTGCTCAAGCTCCGCCATCAGTCTCATCCGAACCTCAACGAGCTCCGATTTCGTGTATGACTGGATATTGTAAGTCAGATAGCTCCCACCAAGACGGACCCCATTCGATCCCTTAGGCGGCTGATTGAACGAATAGGCGTCATCATTGTGGGTGGAACCGTTAACTGGCCGCTGCAAGTGTTTCTGTTTCTTCTTGGGATTCGAATTGGCGTTGGGGTTCAAATGAGCTCGCGAGTGTGAGGCTTTCCCCATGAATTTACCAACAAAATCGCAAATTGGAGTCCAATTCAGTTCGTCACGGCCGCGCAAAGCCACGTCCGCCATCAATTGCCGGTCGACACATGAATCCCACCCGCCCAAATGTACGGCGCCCGCCGGAAAACACTACCTTCCGTCCAAGAACCGGCCAAGAACGTATTTATACGCGCGCGCCGTATAAATTTTGGCGTATACGGATTGGGAAATTGAAATTGAAGAGGGTGTAAGAAGTCGGGTCTAGGGTTTGAACTTCGAACGGATTTGTGTGAGTAAAAGCGAAGAGGGGATCGAGCCTTATAAAGGCGAGGAGATCTGACCGGGAATTTTACGGGCAGGGATTGGGCCGTCGATCTAGCGGTACTTGAGGACCGGACGGTGGAAGTTAGTTTTCGGGCAGCGGTGAGGTGCTGACCGTGACATCTGTCACGAACGTCCGAGATTCCACATTTCTGTACACGTGGAGGAACGTGGGGAAGATGATGTTGAATTTCGGGGTTTTTAATTTGGGTTTCTTTTTGTTGGGCCGCAAAATTAGGGTTTTTATTGGGTCGAAACATGGAATTGTATTTTTTATTTTCATTTTATGCAATTTTTATGTAATTAAAAGATTACTTCATCTTTATTTTTTTATAAAAAATATTCCTTCAATTTATATCACGCCGGACACAAATGGAAAGTCAAATATTTTCATCTTATATAAAAAGGTGTCAAGTCAAAATGTGAAAAAATTGAGCAGTATTGGATTTTATTTTGTTATACACTCCTCCCTAATAATAACAAATTTTAAAAACAACGTAGCATAATATATAAAAAAAATTTATAATAATAACGGAATAATCATATGGAATAATAATAATAATAATAATAATAATCCCTCCATCCTTTATCTTTCATTCTATTTGACTTTTTACGATCTCTAATGCAACACTTTATAGAATATGATATTTCAAAATTGCATTTTAAAATTAATCTATTGTATCAAAATTTAATTTGTATATATTTTATAATTTGTGGCCAAAATTTATAATATTTACCACAAAACGTCAAAATGGAAAGAAAGATGTAGGGGTGAGCCGCGGCAAAACGTCAAAAAGTGCATGTTAATTATTTAAGGACCGTTTTTAATTTATTTGAAAGGATGACTTTAACAAAAATATACGAGTATATTTTACAAGAACAAAAAACAAAATGTATTATTAAATTTAACTCTTTTAAAACTAAAAGTTATTTTGACGAAACCACCACATAGGCAAGTGGTTGGAAGACATTGGGCCTGTTTGGGAATAGCGTTAGCGATTAGCGTCAGCGTTTTGGATAAAAATTTAACGGTGCAGATTAATTTGAAAATGCTAACGCTAAGCGCTGCCCGTCGATAGTCTTTTGAAAATGCTAACGCTATTCCTAAACATGCCCATTATTTACTGAAGAAGCGAATGATGGTAAACTCTGAGAGAGAGAGAATCACACACATACAAGAGAGTATTATTAGCTTGAATTTGCACACACTTGTTTTTGAAAATGGGAAGGACACAGATGAATTCAACGCTCAAACGTACCACTAGAATAATACGTAAATTATTGCACAACATAAAATCCTACACATAGATCAAATTAATACTACCTTCGATCCTAAAAAATCTTCACATTTCGATTTTTTCCGGTCAAAAAATAATATTATTTGATCGTAAATTGTGTGAAAAGTATATTCAGTCATAATATAAATTTAATACTCCCCCCGTCCCAAAAAGATTTACACGTTTCAAAAAAATTGCGTCCAACAATCCCTTACCCATTTCTATTAAAAAACCACTTTTACCCCTTACTTTTTCAAACCCTACCTATCACATCATACCTTTTTTCTAATAATCTACAAATCACATCTTACTTTTACCATCACATCAAGGATATTTTTGGAAAGTCAACACAAAATTATCACTTCCTTAATTTCAACTTTAGTCAAAATAGGTAACACTTTATGGGACGGAGGGAGTATAATTGAATTCGTCTTAGTATATAATTTTGATACGCCGTACCAAATTATTATAACATTTATTTATTTAAATTATGTTTAATTTATGATCAAAGAGTATCTGTTCGCATGACGAATGAAGTACAATATAGTAGTATAGTACATGATTGATGTGTATGGTGGTACAAATAGTGTCTAACTCTGGAGTTAAAAATATGGGAGATGCTAGAGGTACACCAAAAATGTATCTCATTTGTCCCTCACTCTCTCCATAACCACTCATTTGTATTTAATTTTTATTTACTTATTTTTTAAAATTTTCTTACCTATTTGAGTGGTTATGAAAGAGGTGATGGACAAATGAGATACATTTTGGTGTACGCCTAGCATTTTCTTTAAAATAAATGTATCCATCACCAAAAACAAAAAAAGCCGGGATCCCCACAATACTCATCGATGAGGCAACAACAGCACAAAGCAGCAAGTCTGCACACATGACACATCCAACATATAGTAGTAGATCAGAGCTTCATTTCAATGTTTTATAGTTTTCTCTGGTCATAAAAATCTTTCATATTTTGATATTCTTTTATCAAATAATGATAAACTTTGAGCATAAATTGTGAGAAAAGTATATTTAATTATAATATAAATTTAATATAATTGGATTAATTTCATAATATAGTTTTGATATACTCCGTATCAAATTTTTATAATATTTATTTATTTAGATTATGTTTAATTTGTGGTCAAAGAATGTCACATTTGACCAAAAAAAGTCAAAACAGACCGGAAAGGGTATCTACTTATTCATTTACTCCATGCAAATAAAGTTTTGGAGAAAAAGACTAAAGTAATAGTAAAGCATTAAAAATATATCAAAATAAGAGTTTCGTGTTTTTATTCTCGAAATAAAAGTTAAAATTCATTTATATCACCACACCGCAAACTCTTATTTATGGAATAAAAATTTGAAACTTCTATCTGTGTTTCTCTATGTTTTACTCATATTTAAAATAATTCTTTTAATTTTTAAAGAAAAAACACACTCTAATTACTGAAAAAGGGGATGGATATATGGAGTAGTAGTACTTACACCCCCTCACAAAATCCCCGTTCTCTCCTCGGCGGCGGGGCATGATAATGAGACGGCGGCGGCATCACCTGAGGGGGAGGCCCTGGATAAACAAGAGCATGCAGGAGCGGCGAGAGTATATATAACATCAATCACATGCAACTAACGGAGCTAGTATAGATCGGTTAAGTTAATTAACGAGTATGATCAATAATTGAGATTAAAAAAGAAAAGTTAATTAAATTAATTACCTTGATAATATGGTGGTGGATATGGGTACCCAGCGCCACTCATCTCGGAAAATAATATATAATGAAAGCGCGATATAAATTATAAACCTTTTATTATATGTGATGGATCGGATCCAGAGTCGAGCATTATATATATGGGTTTATGGTTTCTCGTGTGTGGACAGAATCAGATTCTATATGACACCAAGTCACCAATTAAGACTCCCTTAAACGAGACGATGGAATATATTACTTACTGTATTTCTAGTTGACGTTGATCACCAATGAAGAAATGTCTAGAGCTAGAAAAATACCGAGTTCACGGTCGATTTCTTTGGTGTACCTTGAGTGTATAAATCGATATTTTCTTAAGTCACTGTTGACAAAAAATTAGAATAATTTAGATAAAACTGAAAGAAATTTTTTTTCAGGAGTCATTTGTTTGGTCGTTTACGCTTGCGAATTTTTTTTGTTAGTTTTTTTTAATCTTTGTTTGATTTTTTGTTTGTATTTTATGTTTTATTTTTATATATTTTTTGTCTGCCTTATGTTTTCCTTTATTTTAATTATTTTTTGTAAACAAATGAAAAAATAATTATATAAAATAAGCTAAAAAAATAATAAAATATGGAGAACATGAAAAAAAATGTAATTAAAAAAAATTAACAGAACATATTTTGTTTTTTATATATTTTATTTTTTCATAAAAAAGATGTTAACAAATTAATTAAAAATTGGATCCGTTCTTTTTTGCATCTGATTCTTATTTTTTATATTTCACTCATGTTTATTTTATTTTATTTTATTAATTAATTAATTTTATTTAACATTCAAAAAAAGATCATACCATATCACACGTCTTTTTTTTTGTTTTATTTGAGATCTTTTTTGAGTTTTCAATTTTCATTATTAACCATTCAAAAGGAAGTGAATAAAATAAGCTCAAATTAAATAAAAAACATGGATCGAAAAAGACAAAAAAAATAACACACAAATAATAATTGTTGTTTTTGATCTTTTTGTATGTTTTTTAATTATTTTTTCTCGATAGAAAAAATCTCATTAGGTCCCTATATTTTTTTAAATGTGATCATCAGTTTCTTAAATTATTTTAATTGTTTGTCATGTCTCTTTACTCTCTAACTAATGCACAAATAGTCCTTTTGGTGACTTTTCAACAAATAATTCTGGCATACTGTCTGTTTTTTCTAATTTTTTTATTCGCTTTATGTCTTTCAGATATTAGATCCCTACATTTTTTCAAAAGTATTCCTTATATTCATATACATCTTGAGTCAAACTAAGCATGTTTTCTATTTTATAAAAAATGGAAAAAGGGATAAAATATCGTTCTTTAGAAATCCTTTGTATATTAAAAAGGAGAGTTGAGCTTTACGACATTTGGCACGCTGACTAGACAATTTTTTTAACACCTCATCGTCCATGTCACCAAGAGCATTGAATGGATGTTTCCTTATTAAAGCTCTTAATATACATAATTACTTTATTATTTTAGAAATAAAATTATGTATTAAATTTTAAAGGAGGAAAACTTTGGCAAAAATGAATATATTTGTATGATTTTTTGTAACTCATTAAATTATTCATACATATTTTTTATAAATTATAAAATAATGGGAAATTCCATGTGGAGTTTCATATAAATATTTTCACTAACATGGAAAATATTTAAAGGGATAAGGAAAAGGACATATGCAGTTGCAAATATTTTAATTAATATTGAAAATATCCGACAAGATAAATTTATTTTTATGTAAATTTGTAAAACTACCCACCTCTTTCCATTTTTACTTTTTTCAAAATAAGGATTTATATAATGATTAGTACATATGCTTCATAAGTAACCCAAATCTTCTATTTTTGAAAAACTATCATTTATAAAGAACACCGATTAAAGTTTTGTCCATAAGTGATGTTGAATAATAGTAATAATAATGATGATGACAATGGTATTTTAATGATGGTTAAAATATAAAAATTTTATAGTGGATTAAAATATACATAAGAAAGGCATTATGGACCAAAGCTTTTAAAAAAGTAAATTTTTTTTAGGAAAAATGTACAATTTTAATAATGATTAGTTTATATTTAATATTATTCTCATACAAACAGAATATGTTTAAATTAGCCAAATATATAAATATAATGAACATAAAAAAATTAGGAAAAATATGCAATTTTTTATCTTTTCCTAAATATATAAAAATGAGACTCGGGTAATTAAGAACTGACATGTGGCTTACTCATGAGCCTCTTTTTAACACCTAATATGTCACATAGATTTTGATGTGAAAAATATGAAATTAAAAGTTTGGTAAATATTTCTAGAAAGAAGATTGTGACAAAGAAGATCATGGTGTGGAGGGGAGCGTGAGAAGATTTGTGACAATGAAGATTCCGGATAATCAAAAAATTAGGAAAAATTGTGCAGAAAATCCAAAGTGCAATAGCTAATAAGTTCGAGACTTAGTTACAGGTTACAACCACATCAAAGAAAATACAATTTCTTATTTGTAACTATTTGTATTTTGATAGAACATTTTATATCTTAACCAGAATACTATCCCGACAAAATTATTAGAGCACTAAGATTTTAATTTTTTTTAAAATAAATGTGGGGGAGAAGAATAATTGATTCTTAGTATTTTAAAATTAAAATTTTAATCATAGAGATTTACGATCACTAATTTAAGATTTTGTTTTTTAATAATGCAAGAATGAATAATAACTTTTTATAATCATTGTGGGGGTGGGGGTAGATAAGGATTATGGATGAGAAGAATCCTATTTTTTAATTACTACCTCCGTTCCTGAGTATTTGTCCAGTTTTGACTTTCCGACTAATTATTTTCAATATTTGACTTAGAATTAAATAAAATATATATTATATATTAAGTATATAAAAAATATTTTGAAAATGGATGATATAATAAATCTAATAAAACTAATTTTCTATCAATATTTAATATCGTTTTTATTTAATTTGAGGTCAAAATTTATCAATTCTGACAAAAAAAAAGGTCAAAAGTTGACAAATACTTGGACAGAGAAAGTATATAATTATAAGGTTGGTAATTTAGGTTTTTTAAATTAATGTGAGGAAAAGAAATCATTGGATCACTAATACTTTTGTATTAATATATTTTCAAATTTATACTGCGATAAAAATTATAAATTTGTAAAAATACATCAAACATAGATCATTTATATTTGACCTTTAAATAATATGTCAAATTTAAATCAAAATCCACATTATAGAATCGAAAAAAATTCCGTCCGAACCCGTGCATGGCACGGGTAGAAATACTAGTATATGTTATGCCAGAGACTTGGATAGAAAAACTGCATGAATAACTACAAATGCACTAGTCAAAAAGTATGAGAACAGTGAGATTGATAGATATCCGAGCTAGTGATCCGACAAGAATAGCCAAATGAAGTTGGACGGCCCAATAGCTATATATATAAGTCCGAATGCAGATTTGTAGGCAAGGCCCAAGAATGAGCCAGGGTGACATACATCCGAATATCCGATCTAATACCCAAATCAAATAGATTCCCCGAATCATGGAATTGATCGAGATGAATTGATAACTGGTTCCTCGCCATGATTAATGCAAGAATGCCGAAATGGTCAATAATGTAGCACACAAACATCACATACCTTATACATGGTAGAAGTAGACTATAAATAGGAGGCTCGTCCTTCTTTGTAAATCAGACAAAAAAAGCTAATACAAAGATATAAGAGTTCTAAACTAGTTCTCATTATTTATTTATTTTTCGTAAGCCATAGTTGTTGGGCTAAACCACATCAGGGAGCACTTTTGAAACAATTATAGGAATCCAGTGAGTAAAGGGAAAAAAGGATAAAATTTGTTTAAAGAAAAATGGACGACATGCCGAGTTTTGCATGAAAAAGCTAATAGAGAGACTATTTGTGCACCAGTTTTAAAGTATAGTTTCGTTAGAAGCACTTGAAATAATTTAAAAACTTAAAGAGCACTTTTGAAAAATTTAGGGACCTATTAAAATATTTTCCCTTCTCGGTATTATATTATCATTTGTTTTTTTTGTTTATGATCTTTTTTAATATCTTTGTTTGACTATTTATTTAGGGCTTATTTTATTCTCTTTTTTTATTTCATTCACTTTTTTATTGTTTACAATAAAGATTGAAAAGAGATCGCATGGGCAACTCACATGGTGACTACTGACTAGGCAATACGAGATCAATGATACAAATACGGACCAATTATGAGAGTAATGATGTCAATTGATAAATTCGAGAGTATTCATGTGAAAATGTAGAAATAGTTTAAGGGGGGTATTCGTGTGAATTTTGCCAAATCAAAGCTAGACAATTAAAATCTCAATGACATAAAATCTAACTATTTAAAATGATTAAGACCTTGTTCTCTTCATCTGATATGATTTAACTGTAGTTATATTTAAAAGTATTTCTGATTTAGTCTGATCTGAAAGTAATAAAAATAAGTTATAGTAACAAGCTATAAATCACATAAATAAATAATACGACGTAGTATAATATTTATTTAAAATATATACAACTACGTTTAGACCCTCGTGTTATCCCATTGCATTGATTATCGATATCATGAGAACCTCCCTCATTTAAACGTTTTAAAAGTCTATCTTTCTTTTTTATCTCAAATTTCATTAGTTGTTTTTATTAAAAAATTACTTTTATTTATATTAATTCTTATATTCACTCTGTCCATTAATTTCTTTTTCTCTTTCCTTTTTGAATTGTTCAGGAATTTATTTCCTATTTTCTATTTTGACAATAAATTTTTAATGAATATGTTAGCATGTTTCCACTTTTTATCTACCCTATTCACTTTATTCCATTAGACAAACATATTTTTTTACACCTTTTAATTTTTTTAATCTCCGTAATAAGTCAAATCAGGAATTTTTTTAACACATCATATTATTGATTAATAATCTACTTATTAATTCCCTCAAAAAAAAAATTAAAAATAAAAATCTACTTATTAATCCAAAAAAATCAAAATAGAAAGAGGATTTAGGATTTAGGGAGGGAGAGAATATTTTGAGCCAAAGGTTCGTCTTCTTCCTCATCCGATCCTTGCCATTATATTCCTATTCACAGTTTGGATAATATCCATTTTTTGCGGCCTCTTGCTGTCCTCTTCGTCTCTTTTCTCTACCCCTCACTGAAGCACAGAACGAACGACGAAATAAAACCTAAAAAGTGTGATCGTTAGCGTCTTTCATAGCACAAGTTTATGCATTTCATCCTTTTTGGGTTCTCAGATTGGCGATCGGTGAAGTTCTCAACAGTTTTGGCAGCAGACTATGTTGGATTTGGTGGCGTACTCTCATGGCCCTAAGGTAAAACCACCAGCTAGCAGTAAATTAAGCTCAGAAATTTGCAGACTTTTCTCTTGCTTTTTCCGTTCATGAAGGAAGATAAAATTGAGGGGTTGAATATTAACGAAGAGACCACAGAAGTAATATAAACCACAGAATTCTTTAGAAAGTGGAACCTTATTTTGGTTCCAACTACAAAGAAATGAAACTTTTTACGGGATGAAGGGAGATTTTTTGTACTAAGCCAATTCGTGTGAATGTCAGAGATGAAATGGGGGAGAAATAAACTTCATGAAATGTTTTTGGCATCAGACAATCTGGTTAATGGAAGTTCTGGTTGTGCTCATAAACATTTTAGTTCAAGATGTTGGTTATATTGCATATCCTTATTGCACCTCGGGTTCCCATTGAGCCTTTTATGAGCTAGCCCAATTCTATTGAAAGAGTTAGGGTATACTCCATTTGTTCCTAAATGGTTTGCACAGTTTGACTTGCACTTAAATTAAGAGTTGGAAGAGAATTTCTCAAGAAGAAAGTTTGGGAAGTAATTTGGAATGGAGGGAGTACATCCCGACAAGTCTGCGAAAGTGGTGTTCAGTATTCAGGTTTAAGGAGGCTTGAATTAAACAGTTTCTCGGAGAATTTTGTTTTATTGTGCATTTTAGTATGCATAATGCCTTTACTATGGACACAATATATTCCCAAAAAGATTTTTTTGTGTGTGTGGTCAAAATACGATTAATGAACCCTTTACTGTCATCTTACTTTTTTTTATCAGACATATTTATTTAATCACTTATGGAGTAACATACATACCAAAACAACCTATTTCTTGAAATAATTAGATGCATTTTTTTTGTTTTGCTCCAGGGATATGTTGTTTTTACTCAAACAAGTGCACTCCCAGCTAGATTTTGTGGACCTCGTTTTTGTAGGCATTATTCAAAAGCCGTGTTTTGTCATAATGGACTGCACCATTTATCATCACTTTCTGTGTACTGCAAGACTCATAAATCGCATATAACAAGTGATGCATACAAAAGTAGGCAAATATTCAATGGAAAAAGATATTACTTCTTCAAGCACGTGCCGTCTCAAAGGTACAGATTTCAAATGTGTTCATCACTTGATGTTGCGAGTGCTGTTGATGTCATCAATGACTTAGGGATGGACACTTTAACATTTTTAGCTGTTACTGTATTGGTTGTTCCAGCGTTCAAGATTATGAGAGCCAGTCCTGTAAGTCGGTTTCATTTGAAGCTTTATCTTGTCTACTGACCTATATGATATGACAGACTTATTCCATCTAACTGTTTTCAGATTCTTGGCTTCTTCTTTGCTGGAGTTGTGCTCAATCAACTTGGCCTCATCAGAAATATCACCGATGTGAAAGTCTTGTCTGAATGGGGGATTCTATTTTTGGTAGGTTCGATTTCCGGAGGTTGAAATTTATCTTTACCCTTCTCAGAACTGTTTTCATAGGCAGCCTTTATGATTAGCACTTATCAGTCATGTCAGCCCATTCCATTAGTTTACTGTATATCATATTTTCTTCCTCAAATATTGAACATTTAGTGATAAATTTAAGAATTTTAAATGCAGCTGTTTGAGATGGGTTTGGAACTTTCACTTGCACGGTTGAAAGCTTTGGCAAAGTTTGCATTTGGGATGGGATTGTCTCAGGTATCCTAAACAGAAACTCAATATCCTTGAACTTCATCGTGTTTTAAATACTATGAAAAGTGGGCAAAAAAGGTAATCACATCAATTAGGAATCTCATATGGAATTGTATCAACATGGATTTTCAAGCATCTGAGCCTTATTTTAGGGAACTTATTAATTTATTACTTTCTGCATTTTATGTTTGAAGGCTATAGGTAGAACCCTGAACCCCTCTTAATGGAAGAAGGGGGAGGGCTTTGATTAAAAAATGTATAGCTATTGAGCAGAATAATTCTTATTGGGAGGGCTTCCTTGGAAGTTCTTGTTTGATCTTTTTTATTTCAGTTTCTTTCCGCCATCAATAAACACTATTTTTTCTTAGTATATGGTCTTTTTACTCTGTATCATAATTTTAGCTCAATATCCAGGCTATTCATTCCATATTAATTTCGGAAAATATTACCAATTATAAGGCAAGTGCGATGTTTAAAAGACCAAACAATTTAGGTTGGTAGACTCTCTAAGGGGTTTTCCCATCCATTAATTAAAGAAATGGTTTGAGTTCAGGATATGATCACCTTTGTAGTAAGCATCCAATTTCAACCTAGAATAGATTGTTATAAGAAACTCATATTTTTAAAAGGAGAAGCTTTATTTAATTAGTGACCATGTTTAAAAATATACTTCCTCCGTCCCCAAATAGTAATTGAAACTTTTATTTGGGAACGGAGGGAGTATTCGTTTATACTTATACAATAATATCACCAAAGGTCAGCAACAATTCTTCCTGAAGCAATGTGAGAATTTGTTTCAAATAATCATATGATCTAAATTGGACACCAAAAAAAATACGGGACACATGAAGCTTATGAGCTGCTTAAAAGTTAGATCAATGCTTGAAACACTTCTAGATCTATAAGTACTTGCTAGACACTTAGACGAGATCGGATCAAAGCAAAACCGAATATTTTGTTGTTGTGAATTGTACAAGGTTCTTTGTGTTCTCTAAATATAAATAGAGAACAAACCAACACAACTTTAACAAACCACAACACAATTTTTAGAAACTACCTGAACCTACCTTTTAGAAACTGCCTAACTGTTTTATTTTAAATTAATTAAATATGAAAGACACACTAACTAACTCCATACTAAGGCCCTGTTCTTTTGGGTTGGAATTTCAGAGTTAGATGTTGGAAGAAACTGGAAGGAGTTGGAAAAAATTGGAAGGAGTAGGAAAATGTTGGAAGAATTTAAGTGTTCAAAAATCACGTCATTAAATGACCATCAAAATAAATATGTAGGGAAACTCTAATTTTGGATACAAAAGAATTCATTATTGTCCGTGTTTGAGGTGATAGGTTATAAATTTGGATATATAATGTTATTTTATATTAATCATATATAAATACCTTTTTAAGTCATTGTTGGAAGGAACTGGAAGGAGTTGGAAGAAACTGGAAGGAGTTGGAAGTTAATTTTCCAACTCAAAAGAACAGGGCCTAATTGACTCTTTACTTACTAACCCGAACATTGACCCATTCAGTTATATGTGAACAATCCCGATTAAATCTAACAGAACTGTCAAATGATTCGATTTTGGGTATACTACTCAGTTGATATTTGCATTGAATTTTGTCCCATTGAAGGTTATATTGTGCACTCTTGCTTTTTCTGCATTTGAACTTCCCCCTAATGCTGCCATTGGGACGAGGATTATGGAATTTCTTTTTCGCTCAAGACCTGATCTGGTTAGTAGCTTTCACTATATTTGCTGCTTTTGTTTCTTCTCTCTCTCAATTTCTTTGTTTGACTGTATATTTGCATCTCTAGTTTCATCAAGTGGGCATTATTTTTAGCATGTAGCCATTCTTTGTAGAAACAGATAATACTCCCTCCATCCAAAAATGAATTACCCATTTCGATCAACGTGCAAAATCCCATGACTTTTAAAATGATTTTATATACAAATTGGAATTGAAATAAAAAAAATATATTTAAAAACTACACCAAAAGTTTTACAAAACAAGAGGTGAAAAGAATATTTTATTTTATCAAATGATCAATGAAAACATACAAACAAACAAAAGTTATCGAGAGGCCATAATAGTAAAGAGGTAAATCATTTTGGGATGGAGGGAGTATATTGGCACTTTCTGTTTCACCATTTTCTGCATCTCTTTCTTAATTTGGGAGTGTATATATAATTCTAGTGTTATGGTTTGTAGTATGGTAGATGCAATGGACTCCTGGTTTAGTTCATGCTTAAGTTTTTAAAATAAAGTCTGGAGTAAAATCTGTTTACCATTTGAATTGTTCTAACCTCAGTACTAGGCTACTAGCCATTAGTCAGTCTCACAAATAATTGATTAATTTCTATTACTCTGTTGTATAAAATAAATCCAGGTGCTTCTAGATAATGCATATTGAACCTCTATCACTAATTTATTGAAATGAAGATTGGACTCATGTATCCATAAAATTATTAAAATCTATTAAATTGGCCACTATAAGTGACCCACCCACTTTTATATCAGCTGTTGATCCATAGTTCAAGGTCTTACAATAATATTAGATTTGTTTTGGGTTACTTTGGTACACACTCTGTCAAGAAAAGCCCCTCTCCTCTCCAGAAAAAAAAACACACACAAGAACAAACACTCATAAATTTATTTTTTACTGCTATATTGGTAACTTATTCTGGACTGTAGGTCAACATCAGAAGTATAGATGAGGCTATTGTAATTGGTGCAGCTCTATCATTGTCTTCCTCTGCTTTTGTTCTGCAGGTATTGGACTATAAATGACTTAAATACCACATCTAAATCTTGTGTTCGGTGTGTGTAAACAGTGCATGGGAAGAAAGTTTCTAATCTTTATCATTGAACATTGTATAGTTTATATTAGATAAGCAAGATTATGGATCTGTTCATTGTGTAATATGCATGCTTACGTGAGAGTAGATCGTAACAAGAATAAATCTAAAGCCTCAAGAACATATATCAATATTCAGAGAGTGGTCCCTTGAGACGTGGAATATTTATTGTATAGGTGGTTAGTCACGATCCACTAGTCATGAAGCACAAACCGGATCGTGACATCATCCCTTAACTGCTGCACCCCGCTCCGTCTGACCTAAACCCATCTCCTGCCCTAATCCGACCCGTTTATCTCCAAATGGGTGGGTCTTTTGGGCCGGACGGTAGTGTCATGGGCAGCCAGGTCGCACACATTATGACTAACACAGTTGGCTGTGTATATTTTGCCTCATATTTATTATACATTTGACTGGTCCCAATATTCCCATCACTATGAAGCTTCACTTAATTAGACCATGCATAGTGGTTCAGGTCCTTCTAGGGAGTTTTTCGCAATGTGGAGTCCATGTCAATAGAGTCATTTTAAGCAAAATAGATGTGCTGTATATTAGATGTGTGATGGGTTTTTTTTAATTTTTTTAATTTTTTGTGAAGAGTGTGCTGTACATTAGATGTGTGATGGGTTTTTTTAGATTTAAGAAGCATAGCTCGTGAAGAGAATAACGCCACCAAGGGCTTTTAAAATATTAACGCCTAGAGTAGTGGTCCGTAGCATCGTGATTGAACGTTAATGGGGAGGTGATGCCCCCATTACGCATGGTCTTATATCATAAAATTATAACCCGTGAATTTTAATTTGTTTGTGAAATTTAAAATTCATCAAATCTTGATTCAGTTAATAATATCTTCACGGATCCGTGATAAAAGAATATTTGGACCAGCTACTTTGGAGATACTTCTACTTTAGCATTTTATAGATTCTTGCAGAGAGGGGTGAACTTCCAACCAGATTTGGATCAGCTACTTTGGGGATACTTCTACTTCAGGTGTCATTTGCTGTTTATATGTAACAACACATTCTTCTGAAACAACAGTATATTCCTTTTGTCCTTGAAAACCATCTTAGATGTTAAATTAATCTTTTATTCTCCCTATTTCTTAACATTTTCAGGACATAGCTGTAGTACCTCTGCTAGTGGTACTACCCGTTCTAGAGAGTCAGGTACACTTTAACTGTTCTGAGCATCAACTTTAATTGTAACAAGTTATTATTAGTGCTATGACAGCTCATCCTAGACTTAAATCTTTTCTTTTTGTAAAATGAAAATTCAGTGGGCCATGCTATTATTTTATCACTAGAAATTTAGTTGTTCTTAGAATTCTGGATGCAGAATTTGGTGGAAGAAAGCATTTGGCCAATGCTTGCTCAAGAAAGTTTGAAAGCTCTAGGCGGACTTGGTTTGCTCTCTCTAAGTGGAAAATACATCTTGAGGCGAGTTTTTGAGGTGCTGAAGAAAGTTTCAGAGAAAATTCCTTACTTTTTTAATGAAGTCATAAATGTTTCTTTATGATGCGATGCAAAAAATGCTGAAAATTTTGTTTTAGATCGTTGCAGAAACAAGAAGCTCAGAAGCATTTGTTGCCCTTTGTCTTTTAACAGTTGCTGGGACATCACTTTTAACTCAGCAATTGGGCTTCAGTGATACGGTTAGAAATACTGTTTTCAGATAACTAAATGAAATAAATGCGACAATTGTTAATGAGTTATATTTGTTCTTTTATTAGCTTGGAGCATTCCTGGCCGGGGCATTATTAGCAGAAACAAACTTCCGTACTCAGATTGAAGCTGATATAAGACCATTTAAAGGATTACTTCTTGGGCTATTTTTTGTGACCACAGGAACTTCTATTGATATGCAGGTATTACCTTCTGAAATTTGCAAATTTTTTGTCTTGAAAAAGGCCATGCCGTTTTTGTCTGCATTGCATTTTTTTTTTCTATTTTGCTGTAAGTACTCTTGATAGGATATAACTTGATTAATTGATTGCATGAAAATTAAAGAAAGACAGAATAATAAAGTACTCGATATGCTTGTTATGCAGTAATAAAACATTGAAAATGTACTACTTGTTGAGATCCCCACCATCACTCCACAACACACACACACCAATAAATTCTTTGCCTGAGCTAATAAAGCTGCCTTCTCAGAAATAATATTTAACCTTTGCAGCTTCTTTTCCGAGAATGGCCAAATGTTCTTTCGTTGTTGGCAGGCCTGATTGTTATAAAGACACTTATTATAACTGCAATAGGCCCTCGAGTAGGGCTTACCCTACAAGAGAGCATACGGATTGGATTCCTTCTCTCTCAGGGCGGCGAATTTGGATTTGTGGTATTTTCATTAGCAAACAGGTTTCTCATGCTTCTTTTTTCTGTAACTCAACTGGTGCATATATATTTGTTTGACTTTTTTAACTTCAAACTGATGCTTTGATTTTTTTCTCAACTTGGAGGCTTGGTGTGCTCCCACTTGAGCTGAACAAGCTTCTTATAATCGTTGTTGTGCTCTCCATGGCTTTGACACCCTTACTCAATGAAATTGGACGAAATGCGGCTAATCTTATTGATGAGACCTTTGATGGTGATGATGATGTAAGTCATTTCTTCTTAATCTACTTTTATCAAACAATACTTCTTAAGGGGACAAGGTTTATTCTTATTACTCCCTACGTCCCCCAAAATCAGTCCTATTTGAAAACTTATTTTTGTCCCAAAAGAGTGTCATTTTCAACAAAAGAAGCTAATTTTCATTAAACTTAGAGGATGGGTGGGTGGGTGGGGGTGGCAGTTACATATTCTCATGTAACATCTTTGAAAATTGAAATTCTATTCTTTTACCTTGAGCATTTAGAGGATGACATACAGTAATGTTTGACAGAACTTAATAACTTCCGAAGGAAGATGGAGCTGGGGTTCCGGTTTTATATTTTTTTCCATACATGTTTTCTTGTTGTCTTTTAATTTTTAACTACATTTCCTGCCTGTTTTGGCATGATAAAGACCAAATGTTTATTAGATGTGATCATATGGAAGTTTTGTGCACTTGAAATGAAGTGTGTGAATATTTAGTTCAAACCTCAAGGAAGTATTTGATTCATGAAGCTGCCATGACTTCATAATTACTTATCGAAGGTTCTATTATACAGCATTACACTGTGTATACATGCATGTGCTTGTGTATTTTACATTATTACTTACATAATGGATAATGCCAGATGGGACTTGAGTTAGATCGAAGAGACTTTAAGTGAGATAACTGGCGATTAGTGTTGAATAACAAGACTTCTGTTTATATAAACTTTCATCTTGACAATTCTTAAAAGACTAATGCAATGCTTATTGCTCCCCTTCACTCCCCTGTTGAACAACATTTCAAGTTGGAGCATTCACATTTTATTCTCCAATCTAGACAGAACATTTGAACTTGAATTTCACTTAAATCTTGTTGCTTCTTTTTCATCATTGACTTTCATGGTTATCTCAGAAACCAGCTCATGAAGTTGACTTCAATACTAGTGAACCAGTTGTTATTGTTGGGTTTGGGCAAATGGGTCAGGTACTGAAGTCATATTATTCATTTCTGCCGCAAGAGCTTTATGGGTTTTCTTGAGTTCATTCTGAATGTTCTTCAGCTTTTCTATACAGGTCCTTGCCAATTTGCTATCTGCCCCACTAGCTTCAGGTTTAAACAGAGGAGTGGGGTGTCCTTATGTTGCTTTTGATCTAGACCCTTCTGTTGTGAAGGTACACAATTTTTGTTTGACTAGCCACTTTTCATTTCTTACATTTCTATTTTCTTCATGCTCAGAAAGGTTATGCAAGGCAGATGTTTTAAAAGTCTTAGGTACCCACTTGAACAGGCTTCAAGAGATCTTGGTTTTCCTGTTCTCTATGGTGATGGGTCCCGTCCTTCAGTTCTCCGATCTGCTGGTATATCATCTCCAAAAGCTGTGATGGTTATGTATGCTGGGAAAGAGAAGACCATTGAGGCTGTTCAAAGGATTCGACTTGCTTTCCCCGCAGTATTAAATCTTCTCATCCCCACCCCAACAGCACCAATGCACACTCTCCTGCATGCAAAACTAGTCTTTAATAAGAAAAATATTATTTTTGTTTCATTACCGACAAAGGGTCAACATAGGCAATAAGAAGTAAAAGTCTTAGAAGGCGTAAAAATCAATACTCCCCCATCTAAAAAAAATAGTCCTATTTGAATTTTGAAAAAAAAATCTTGTCCCAGACTCCTAGTAAAAAAGTCATATTTGAACAAAAGAAGCTAAATTTCATTACTTGTTTTTTTCTTTCTAAAAGAAGTCTCTGTAAAAAATTAAGTTTTTTAATCTTAGTTATACCGACAAATACTTTTTTTAAAAGTATATAGAATTGATGATTCCCAATTATTGTACCATCTACCATGCTAAACTTTCAAAGTGTACCTTGGCGAATCAAGATTTTTATTTGGGACGGAGGTGTTACAACATTTTAATATGGGAACCAGTTAGAAATCATTTATAGCAAGTGTCAAATATTCTCTAAGATTCATACAACCACGGTTTGCTCCAGAAACTCATTTCAATTCATTTTATAGATTCCAATATATGCACGAGCTCGGGACGTAAAGCATTTATTAAACCTAAAGAAAGCAGGTGCAACAGATGCTATTCTTGAAAGCACAGAGGTAAGATATCTAACCCTTCACTTTTCCTGCTAATTTTTTTTGAATACATGAGCAATGCCTATGATAACCCATGTATCCCTGCAGTCAAGTTTACAACTTGGCTCCAAACTGTTGAAAGGGTTTGGTGTAATGTCTGATGATGTAACCTTCCTGAGTCAATTGGTCCGAGACTCTATGGAGCTACAAGCCCAAGAAGCACTAGGTAAAACGGACGATCAAGATAAAGTTATGAAGCCTTTGCAGGTAATAATGCAAAACACATGATTAAATGGACACATGCTCAGTTTATCATATGCACTCCTTGAGAGTACAGAATAAGTTAATTATATTTTCACTCATTTCACATTGTCACTCCTTTTCTTTGAGTATTATTCTTTTCCCATCACGATACTTTTAAAGCTTCATTTTCAATCTTCATTGCATTCCCTACTCGCAACAACAACCCAGTATAATCCCAAATCCCAACTTTGTTGGGATCTAAGGATCAAGATGTACACAGTCTTACACCCATGTAAAAACAGAGAGACTGTTTTCGTCACACCCTAGATGCATTGCTGCATTTACTGCCCAAAACTTCATAGAGAGTAAGAAGCAAGCGGATTCTAATGTGCATTTTTTATTTAATCCATTGTGTGCCCGGAACTAAAACACTGTCAATGACTATTTTGGATCCATTAGCAATGGACATAATGAATGCTCCCTCTAACTCAAATAAATGTCCAGATGTCCATTATAACAAAAAATTTTGTTTTTAAGGTGACAATTAATTTGTGAACAAAATGCATGTGCACTTAGCTGCCTATAGTATATGTTCTTTTCTGTTGAGTATGCAAACAGGATTGCCGTGTGGCATTTAATTGCTGAAATTCACTAAATGCGGTAAAAATCTTTTGACTGACTAGGTAAGAGCAGGGGACTTGTTAGTGGCCGCAAGAGAACCAACCGCATCTGAAGGCGAACAATGGAAAATGCAGGAGCTGACCGGTAAAAGTTTTGCCATCTCAAGTTCTGATCAGTTGACTGTTGACGGTGAAAACCATTTAAAAGACCATCTTGAAAGTGAAGCCAAGAAAGGTTTCCCCCTAAGTTCAGAAAATATCAACAGTGACAGTCAGTAGGTAGGTAGGTGGAAGCATTTGGGGTTGCAAAGCATTCAACTTAGAGATACTAACTCCAAAACACAACATTTTTTTAAAAGCCTAGCAGAGAAGAAAAGGCTGTCTATTTTGTGGTCATTGGTTCACTACCTGTATATATTCAGTTTTGTGATAGAAAATGCTACTTTAACCCCAAAAATGACACCAAGTTTGACACCCCACACATATTAGTGGTGTCATCCGTGGTGTGAGTGTAGCATGACCTGTTCTGTGATAGAATATATAATTTTGAAACCTCTTTTGGTTGCAAAATTAGTACTCCGTAACTTTGTGTGGTATGTACACTCTGTATAGAATACAACTTTTATTACATGTAATGTAATGCAATGAGAGCCTCTCTCACTCTACGAACGTTAGTTTTTTTTAAATGTGGAATTTATTGAATACAATATTGAGTTTATTGCACCAATACACTCTGTGGTTTAGTAAATATGCATCATTGTCGCCTATTGCTTTAAAATTTAAGTTGTTGTCTCTCATCTAGACTAAAGTACCCTTCAATTTCGGGTGAATAGCCTGTTGCCCTTTATAGTTTAAGAAATGAAAGTTATTTTTCAAAATTGTATTTGATAATGTTTTAAAAGTTAAAAATTGTTTGTCTTTGAAATAAAAAATGAAATAAAAAATAAATAATTTCATTTTTTATCTAAAAAAGTTGTGTAGATTTCATAATTAGTTCTTTATAACGGGAGTTTTTTTATATTTAGTCTTCTATTATCAAATATTATCCACTAGATCTTTCATTTTTATGGATATGTTTCTACAAATAGTCCTTTTTTCATTTTTATCAAATATTTTTTCATTTTTTCATTTTTTCATCAAATATTTAATTTGCTTGTCTCAAATTAAATAATTTCATTTTTTATCTAAAAAACTTGTGTAAATTTCATAATTAGTTTTTATAACATGAGCTTTTTTATATTTAGTCTTCTATTATCAAATATTACTTACTGAATTTTTCTTTTATGGATATGTTTTTACAAATAGTTTTTTTTTGAATTTCTTACATGCTCGTGTTAATTTGAGGAATAAAAGTGTATGGACCAAAAGATTACATGGTAAGATTTTTTTGAACCGATGTCCAACATATTTCCTTCATGATTTAAGTTTTTTTATAAAAGTAACGCTTCACATATTTTTCTTTTTCTTCATTTTATTTTCTATACTTATTCATTTTAATTTTGATTAAAAAAGAAATGTTATAAAATTAGTTTTAAAAATTAAACAGAGAAACAAAAAAAAATGAAAATGAACGTAATGGGAAATGAGCTTTAGTGCAAAAAAGAAAAAATATTTCATTGATTTTTTTCATGAAAATGAACAAATACATACTTTTTTGGACAAAAAATACAAATATTTAATTAGAGACAAATGAAGTTTACAATAATTTTTTTTATTTCAAATACAAATCTTTTTATTTTTAAAATATTATAAAAAATAGTTTTAGAAAAGAACTTAAAAACAATTATGACTCTTCAGCGGAAATTCAAGGTGAATGCAATAACTGAAGGAAGTGATTAAAATACATTGAGAAAAATCTATATAAACATATATGGAGCATTACATTTGTAATTTGTAATAAAGTTTTTAATGCTAAAAAAACAAATTTATTGAGTGGTTTGAGAAAAAAAGAAGAAGAAAGGGAGGAGTGGTTAGCTTTATCTTCTTCGCTTACCTAAAAAAGTCTTGAGAACCAGAGGGGAAGCTTGTAGATGAATCAGACGCCAAAACCCGTCTTCAACTAATAGCTTAGCTCTGTCGAGGTCTGGAGTGATCAGGAATGGCTATAGCTCCAGCCCCTCCTCCATCTTCACTACTTCCCCAACCTTCCTGGTTCACTCCCAAAAGGTATTTTTTTTCCCTACTCAGAAAATTCATATGATTGATCATCTAGATTTTGAATTTGAACTATTCGAGTCCACTTGGCTGAATGTGTGGACTTCTCCGTGGCTAATTTTACTTTTACCCTTGGTTATGATGCTAAGTTTGTGCAGATATGTTTATATTGTTGACTGGTAATCCTATGCTTTGCCTATACCATGTGCCACCAAATAAGTGATTTGTACCCAATCGGTCATTCTCTGTCATAATCGGGCTGAAAGTTCCTTTTTTGATAAACATTCCGTTTGGGTTCTGAATTTTCCCATTGCATTCTTCAGATTGATCACTACATTCAATGTCATTGAATTTTTTGGTCTGTACTCCATGGGCGTGGGAAAATTTAGAGAATTACCTAATTAGGACTAAAACATGCTTCATATATCATTGAATTTTTTGGTTTGTACTCCATACTGGTGGGAAAAGTTAGAGAGAAATTCCTAATAAGGACTAACACATGTTTAAATCGGTCATTCTCTGTCATAGTCGGGCTGAAAGTTCCTTTTTTGATAAACATTCCGTTTAGGTTCTGATTTTTCCCATTGCATTCTTCAGATTGATCTACTACATTCAATATCTTTGAATTTTTTGGTCTGTACTCCATACGGGTGGGAAAATTTAGAGAGAAATACCTAATTAGGACTATAACAGGTTTCTTATACCAAAATAGGACATTCAACGATTTATTCCAAAATATGACTTATAGTGCCAAATAATGCCAACATATTATTGCCAAAAAATATGGTAAAATGTCAATACACAATGTCAAATCGTGACGTTTCGTAGTGCCAACACTCCTATCTAAGGGATGAAAACATAGGAGGTCTTATTTTGGTATAAGCTCTATGTTTTAGTCTTATTTAGGTAGATTTCTTAAAAACTTACCATCCTGCCCATTTCTGAAGTGTTGATGATGGTAATCTAGCGGTTATGGGTTAGGTTGTTTGAATTTACAAAAGTGCAGACTTTTGAGTTGCGTATCGCCAGTATGGTTGAGAGATTACTATCCAAGTGAAAGAATTGAAATGGGAAACTTGGTTGCGTAACTGATATATTATGCTATATTGATTCTGGTGGTTATGCTGCTAATGGCTTAGGTTGCTTGCAATTTTCTGCTTAGTCAACTTGCTAAATTATGTGGACCGTGGAGTTATAGCAAGCAATGGTGTCAATGGGAGCCCTGGAAGTTGTACTGAAGATGGTATATGTTCATCTGGCACTGGCATTCAGTAAGTATATATGCTTCAAAAAAATGCAATGGTTCAGTGCTACTTATGAACCCTTCATTAACCCCTTTCAAAAGTTCAATCTAATGTTAAGTAACTTTAATCCTCTTTGTGTTTATAGGGGTGATTTTCACTTGAACAATTTTGAGGATGGTGTCATATCATCTGCTTTTATGGTTGGGCTATTAGTGGCATCTCCCATTTTTGCATCATTAGCAAAGAGGTAACAAATTTCATTGCTTTATTGATATGCGAGGGATTTACTTTGAATTCCTCATGTAGGAATAATTTACATCTTGTTTAGAAAATAAAGCAATGAAAACGTTTTAAAATTTTGACAAGTCAAAGAATATATGTTGTGATGTTATAACAGTAATATTTGTGTAGGAAAGGTAATTTAGAATGACCATGGTCAAGTGGTCACTTTTCTATTTTGCACTTATACAATCAAACCAACAACCATCCTCTATAAAAGCAATTCACTACGACATTCATATTTATTTTAGAACAGATTTTTTAGGTGTATTTTTATCTTCTATAACAGCTTTCTATCTATAGAAGCAACACCCATAATCTGATTAGTACTGTCTTTGTAGAAGTAACTCTCTATAACAACCTATCTTCATTATTTACGATACGTGCAGTACGTACCTAATACATGAGACTCACTTCTTTTTGAATTAACAAACCGCTTCACTGTTCCGCATTTACTCCTTAAAGCTCAAAATATGGATCACCTCTTTCTTACTCTGTATTTACTTCTTAGGCCACAAATTATGAATCGCAAGCTCAGGCATTTTATCAATTCTAAGAAGGTAGAACATAGAAAATGCACTACAATTGTAAAAAATTTCCACTAACTCAAAAAAATAGATCTACAATAAAAAAAAATTTAATTTTGAGATATTGTCCATTTTTACTTACAAACTCAATACATGTTATATGCATATAAAAACATGCTGTTAAGGATGGCAATTCTACCCGAATCCGACTTTTACCGACCCGACCGGAGCTTGTAATATCCGAATCCGAACCGAAAAATCAAATATCCGAAACCGACCCGAAAAAATTTAAACAGAACCCGACTTTTGTCGGGTCGGGTATGGGTTAGTATATTTGACCGACCCGACCTGTACCCAACCCGACATGTACCCAACTTTTAATATGTTATTAAAACCCTAAATTCCTATATTGCATGTATTTTTGATGTACATATTTTTAATGTTTTAAAACTTATTACACTTTTTGCGTTTCATTTTTATTGTGGTTTAATCTTTTGTGTCAAACATATGTTATTTCCTTTGTAATTTGTATATTATTATTTGAAACTTACTGTACTATTTATTTTTTTAAGGGTCATAATTATTTTTGTTAATATCTTAAATTTATAGTCGTCTTTAAAATTTTAAATTTATAATGAATTTCAATCTTAAAATTTTCATGAAAACTTTTATTAGTATTCAAACCCGAAGTTGACCGTAACCGACCCGACTGAATCTTGGACCGAATCTGAAACCAAAAAATAACTATCCGAAACCGACCCGCCAAAATCAAACCTGAACCCGACCTAAGTCGGGTTGGGTTTCAAGATACTCAAACCCGACCGAACCCGACCCGTTGTCCTACATGCTGTTATAGGCGTCTCCACTTTAACATCCAAAAATGCTTGGACAAATGAGGCTGTTTTAGAGAAGTTTGACTATATTTGAAGTTCTTGTGCAACATATCCATAGTGTGAGTAAACATTAGTTGAAAGAATAACATGAAAGGGAGCTGAGAAGAGAATATAGAACCTTTAGTTATGATCCTACTTTGTTTATTTTGTTTTATATTTTGGTGAATCAGTTTCAGAAAGTTAGCACTTTTTTATCTGTGAAAATTGTTTTTCTGCACTTTGCAGTGTCAATCCCTTTAGGCTTATTGGAATTGGATTGACAGTCTGGACTTTGGCAACTGCTGGTTGTGGGTTTTCAGTGAACTTCTGGTCAATTACAATATTCCGCATGTGAGTTAACCTAACTCTCTCTCTCTCTCTCTCTCTCTCTCTCCCAGACTCCCACACCGCTTCTCTTCTTTCAGTGAACTGCTGTCATGTCTTATTATTCTGCTTCTGTACATATCTTTCTTTTTCATATATCAGGTTTGTTGGTGTTGGTGAAGCGTCTTTCATAAGTCTTGCTGCTCCTTTCATTGATGATAATGCCCCTGTTGAGCAGGTCTGTCTCTCCTTTTGTCAATTTAAGTACATAGTTCACTTTTGGCAGCTGGTGCAAATGTCAATAGCGGGCATGATATGAGTAGAAAACCTTACAGAAATGAACTACTGTTTAACTTAATAAGTTAATATTTCATATTCTGACCACCAATGTTTATGGTGTTTTGTCTTCATTTGTTGATTTGTTTGTGGCATGGAGTTTCACATTAGTAGTGTACTAGCCTGTATTGCGTGATTGAATAGTTTGTCCATTTGACTTCCGAAGCACATATTTCTTTGCATTGTTGGTGTACTTGGTTGTTATTTGCTGGAAAAAAACTCTAATGCGGAGTAATAAAAAAAGACAAATAAATACCATGCATGCATGTTTCTTCTACTTACTTTAATGCTCCATTTACCACTGTTTTTGGAACCTATTTTTTCTTTTACGGGTCATTATAGATATTTTTCTAAAATGGGTTATAGCTGATTTTACATGAACCAGAAAGCGACATGGCTTGGATTGTTCTACATGTGTATTCCAGCGGGCGTTGCCATTGGCTATGTCTATGGTGGATTGGTACGCATGTGATTTTCTTTACTATCATTTTTTTTCAATTTTAATATCTTATTAAGAGCAGTATCTGAAAGCTGTCACTCTTTTTTTTCTTATAGGTTGGAACATATCTAACGTGGCATTGGGCTTTTTGGATTGAAGCAATATTAATGCTTCCCTTTGCTATTTTAGGTTTTGTAATGAAACCATTACAAATGAAAGGTGCATTTAATCACTCTTTTCTTTCATTCTTTTTAAACTGTTTGCATTATCCCACTGTTGCTTATACTTGGTTTTGCAGGGTTCTCTCCAATTGAATCAGAAAAAGTATTGGTATCTGCTTACTTGGGAGAAGAAGGTATTTCAAATCAATATTGATGTCCACAAGATTATGTCGGTGTATATTTCCCTTGACTTACCTTTTTGAAATGTGGTGTTAGACAATTCGTGGGCAAAACCAGTTTATCTCTATATTGATTAAAATTTAAAAGTGAACATATTTGTGTAACCCTGTGTTATTTCTGTGTTTGTATGGTGGCCGTCTTTCTTTGACCTGGCATTTTCATCATATGCAGTTGCTTCAATTGGTAAAGATGGTTCCATTAATGAAACCTCTAAATCTTCCAGGTAATGAGTTTCATAACAATATAGAGCATAACATTATTCAAATAAAAAAACTGCACAACCACTGCCACTTATGATTTATATAGATTTTTTTAATTGTAGGGAAAACGACGTTGGTATTCATTCAGATAATTTCATGAGAGTTTTTAAAGACGTCGGATCTCTTTTGACTGACAAGGTTTATGTTGTGAATGTTCTAGGTATACAGGTTTGACCCTGAGTATCTGAATGATCCCTCCCCCCCCCTGTTATTACTAGTACTCTCTCTGTTCTCAAATAACCATCCATTAACTAAATGTATTTTCATCACAGATAACCATCTATTTAGCAAATCAGTAAATTGAGATGTAGTAAAATAAACGAGGCGCTCAACCATTTGTTTAACTTCTTGTTAGATTAATAGCTATAAATTAATAAAGATATTGGGTTTGTTTGTCACTTAATGGCAAAACTAATTGTCACCTTAAAAACAACAAATTTTTCAATTTTTCTTAATGGATATTATGTGAGAAGACTGAGAACAGAGGGAGTAGATACATTAATAGTTATATATAAATTGAGGTTGATTTGCATGCATTCATGTTCTTTTTGTTTTACTTTAAAGTATTGTGTTACGAATTGAAAATTTTCAAGTTATGCTTAGTTGCAAATGTTTCTGCTCTGAATTCCCTTTTCAGGATATATAGCATATAATTTTGTAATAGGCGCATACTCCTATTGGGGACCAAAGGCTGGTTACAACATATATCAAATGGTGAGTTGGTGAACCCAAAACTAATCCCTCTTTCTGGATTTGTTTGCCCACCATCCAAATACTTCAAACTTAAGGGTTGATGGTAAAATAGCAACAAAATCTTGAATTGTACTCCCTCCATTCCATATTACTCTGTATAAGAGTCTTTCTAGAAAGATTTGTTGGTCGAATTTATAAAAGATTTCGATACTTCAAAGGCAGGTAAATTTTATTCTTCCCATAATGCCCTTTTGTTTAGTTACTTTTCAACATGGAAGATCAATTCATTATTGTCCTTGAAGGGCATACTTGTGAAAGTATACAAAACTTTGTCAAATCCATCATTTCAAACCAACTTTTTTGGTATCGGAGAATTAGGTAAAAAGGCCTAATAATAAGGATCAGTGGGAATACTTCATTGATGTCAAAAATGCTAAGTTGCTCTTTAAGGGGTGGATTTGATAATTAATACACAATAATTTGTTTACAAAATATGGTTAGTGGGCAAATTATTCCGAATGCATCAAAGAGGAAAAGTGGAAAACTAAATATGGACAGAGGGAGTACATGTACGTTTTAATGTTTCTGAGTTTAGAGAAGACATCTTCCATTGTTGATGACTTGTGGAAGAAATCAATTTCACTGCTTTAACTCTTGCTTATTTATATTCTTATATGTTGCTATAGACTATTCAACTATTCAATCAAAGTCCCAGTGAGTTTTTCCTTATTATATTTATATCTATTAATTGATCTTCCATATGCAAAATGAACAGAAAGGAGATTGTTTTTCTATTAGGGATGGTTTTGGCGGAAGGGTTGGATGGCTCTTAGTACATATCAATTTCTTTAAGAAACATTTCATTTATCAAGGCATGTGGTAAGCCTTCTTAAACAATCCAAACAGATCATAAGTGATTGTTCATTTCCATCTACTGCAGAGCAATGCGGACTTGCTATTTGGAGGGATTACAATTGTATGTGGAATATTTGGAACACTGGCGGGTGGCTTTGTTTTGGATCTCATGACTGCCACTCTATCTAATGCTTTCAAGGTAGATTATGTTGTCATTGATCCCGTGCATTTGTACTTTATTCTGCATACATCTGAAATTATGAACTTTTTTAGATTGTAAAATAAAGGTAACTATCTTCTTTTTGCTTTGTTGGGTAATTGCAAATCACCAGATTCACACTCCCTAATGTAGTGGCTTTGTTGCAGCTTCTTTCTGCAGCGACGTTTTTGGGTGCAATATTTTGCTTTGCTGGCTTTTGCTTTAAAAGCTTATATGCTTTCATCGTCCTGTTTGCAATTGGTGAACTGCTTGTGTTTTCCACTCAGGTAGAACTTTTCAATGTGCCACTCAGATAAATGATGTTAAACAAGTTTTTTTTAAATATTAGAATAACAGGCTTGTTGAGCTTACATGCCCAATTATTATGGGGTGTAAATGTCAGTTTTAAAACAACTCATACTTCTTCTTTTCTTGAGCATGATTAGCATACATTTCCCCATATATTGCAGGGGACAGTGAACTATGTTTGTCTGCATTGTGTGAAGCCAAATCTGAGACCGTTATCCATGGCTATATCCACTGTCTCCATTCACATATTTGGAGATGTTCCTTCATCTCCTCTTGTTGGGGTTCTCCAGGTTTTCGCTTTTCGTTCATATATTCAAGAGTTTGTGTAGTCATTTCACGGTTTTTTGACAGTGCCCAATGGTGTGCTATATAAATTCAGGATCATGTAAAGAATTGGAGGATTACTGCTTTGGTTTTGACATCAGTCCTGTTTCTGGCAGCTGGAATATGGTGTATAGGTTAGTCCCACACTTAAGAATCTTGTATTTGATATACACACTCTCCGTACCGTAAAAATAACTTTCTTGTTTGACTTTTACGGAGTTTAAGAAAAGTATCGAAAAGTAAAATTTTATGGTTATAATTTGTTTAGAGGAGAAAATAGTTGTGAGACACTCATTTTTTCTTTGAAAAGAAAGTAATTTTTTTTGAGGAACGAAAAGGAAAAAATAAAGTTTTTTACGGAATGGAGGAAGTGCTTCATATTTTAGAAAAAATGCAATGTCTCTTTGAGAACATCTGATAAAAACTGGAACCATGTCAAAAAATGCTTGGATTCGATATTTGATATTCAAAAAAACCATTTCCATGATATGATAGTAAAATCCAGTAGGATCAAAAGACACACGTACGACCGAAAAATATAATCAAACGCATAAACGCACGCCATCCAAAAATACTACACTATATATAAACATATACGTGGTATTTCATAATGTTTGGACCTTGCAGGGATTTTTGTTCACAGTGTGGACAGATTTTATGAGAATAGCGAAAACCATGCAAACACAACAACACCCTTCCTCAAAGAATGCACGACAGAGAGAGCGGAATCGTCTGCAGATCCTTAGTTGCTTTTGCAGGTAAAAGAACTGCCAATCAAAGCAAACACATATATATATAAGCTGCTACTTTTGAAAATGCAAATGCAAATTTAGCTGCATTTCATCACTGTTTATAAACTACTACTGTAGTTTCTACACACATATTGCTTGAAATATTTCTGTATGTGTTGTGTATGGCTGTATCTATCAATATTAAGGCACCATTTGTTTTAGTTTCATCCTTGATTCCCAGAATTGGCTTCTCATAATCAGCTACACTCACTTACAGCATCTCCAATAGTACTGCATGTACTCAGAATTTCTAAAGACACATTCCTTTCTAAAGTTGCATGTTTTAAGTAAGCCTCTAATCTCCACCTAACTTTTCCGGCCAACAGTCCACCTTCGCTGCCACACTATGTGAATATGCATCTCATACTCTTTCTTCAATTCACACAATCAAACTTTTGTATACTTACGCTCTCAATAACACAAAAGCACGATTTCATAAATAACTTTGTACAACCCTCGCCTTAGATTGTTTAATTTCGACTTTTTTCGGTCAAAATTAATAAATTTTGACCACAAATTAGATAAAATTAACACTAGATATTTATACAAGAGTATTTTGGTTAGATTTATCTTGTAAAATATTTTTAAAATATGGTTTTTTCTAATAAATACTCCCTTCGTTTTTTAAAACATTTCCCCTTTCATTTTTTTTACTTCCAACAAAACACTTCTATTTTCTATTAAAAACCACTTTTACCCTTACTTTTTCATACCCAACCTATCACATCATACTTTATCTCTAATAATCTATTCATCAAATCTTACTTTTACCTATCACATCAAGGGCAAAATTGAAAGTCATTCCTTATTTTTACACAAAGTCAAAATAGGAACACTTTTTCCAAACGGAGGGAGTATATTATATAACTTTTATTTAATTATAGATCAATGACTGCAAAAAATTAAAAGTTTACAACTACTAATCAAGGACTCCATAAAGAATTGTACTCCGTAAGAATATAAAATTAATGGGTTAAGAATTTAAGAATTTCAAACAGAATGTTAGTAATGTTGGGTTTTCTTGATTTTCCGGCCACCTCTTCCTCCACAAACCACCGTGGTATTGCATCTTGAACGTGCTCTTCGCCGGCGGCCCGTGTTTTTTTATGAATCCAATCTTTCTCAATTCTCCCTCCCACACCGAATTATTTAATCAGGTAATTCTTTGTATAAGTTCGCCAGTTGAAGAGCACACAACAGCTTGTCTTTGTTGTTCAACTTTAAATTATAATCTGAAGTTTTTAGTGGCTTCTTTAATAATATTTGAAAGATGTCTCTACATTTTTCTAATACAAATAAAGAAGCTACTAAAAACTTCACATTTATCAATTTAAATGTTAGATTTTTTTTGTTTTCTTTTGGCATCGTTATATGATAATTTAATGTTTCTTTATTCCAAAAAGAATTTATTATAAATTTTTAAATTTTAAATTGTAACCGTGAATTATGATAAAAATATATTGAACTGTGAAATGAATTTATTATAAATATATTAATTTTGATATATAATTTTGAAATACCATATTTTTCTAATCTATGAATATACTAGTATAAAAATAAAGATATTAATGGTCAAACATGTTATACTCTTGGATGGCTCCACCAAATACTATCACTCTTAAGATATTGAAAAGTATTTTGTCCTTTGTTTATCAAAATAAAGTCTTCTTTTATCCATTTCAAGCCTTGGCAGAAAAATAAAGTCAAAGAACAAATAAAACATTACTCCGTAGTTTCTTGTTTTTATCTTTTTAAGCCTTTCATTTAGCCACCTAGTATGTCTCCAAAAATTCTATTATTGACTTTTTGGGAAATTAAAGAAGAGATTATAATATTGACTTCTCAAAAAATACCCTTGATGTAATGCATTAAAGTAAAATATGATGGATAGATTATTAGTAAAAAACTATGATGTGATAGGTAGGATATGAAAAAAGTAAGAGGTAAAAATGATTTTTTTAATAAGTAAGAGGGGTGTGGAACAAAGAAAAAATGAAAAGGAAAGATGTTTCCGAGCCGGATGGATTATTTTCCTAGTCTTTTTTATCACATGGCCGAAATCCCCTTTCATAATCTCTGGAGAATGAGTCATTTTTCGTCTAAACAAGACCACATCATTTCCCTACCTGATGGGCGAAAAATGAAAGAGAAGAAGTCCAAAGGAATAGTACTGGCTTTTGTCCTTGTGTCACAAAAGTCTCTTTTGGTTCCCACTCCATAAGGCCAAAATTACTCCGTAGCTATTAATCATCCTCTAAAAGTGAGTCATTTTCCACAATAAATCAAGACCAAATAATCTCCTGCATAATGGCAAAAAAATCAGGAGAAAAAAGGTTTTTGAGTGAACGGACGGTTTGTCATAATTGTGCCACAAAAATCAAGACTCTTATCTTAATTTAATGCCAAAGGATAAAAGCATCTCTAGAATAACTTTAGATTCTTTTTGATATTATGAAGAAGAATGGGATATCAAGAGAGAATGGTAGATTTAGAAATGATGCGATAAATACAAAATCAGTATTAAGAGATATACACGCTCTTATCTTAATTTTGAGCCAAATTAATATTAAAAGATATACGCACTTCTAGATTAACTTGGGTTAATGTCTAGAATTTAATTAAGATATATACACTTAATTAAATAACTAAAATTTAAATATTACATTTAAGAGAATCACTCTTAAGATATTGAATTGAGATTTTGATCAGAATAACATCGCACTATTTTAGTGAATTACTCATAGAGTAAAACAAAGAGTTTTATTATCAGAGTGTTGAAGTACAAGGTCGTTGTGGCAGAACTTATATAACAATGGAAAGACATTAACTAATACTTGGTCTGTTCTTGAGTGTTTGTCCACTTTTGACTTTTGGAACTGTTCATCTAAGCACTTTGATTCATCAAATTCTCTCAATGTGTAAGCCTAAAAATAGTCATGTGTGATCTTGTTTGATTTGTCTTAACATATAGATTATTAATATATAATTTTTATAATTTTTTAATATACAAATTACAAGATAAAATGGATTAAAAAAGTGCATTGGATGGTGTGCAAAAATGAAAGTGGACAAACACTCAGGGACGGAGGGAGTACTACACACAATGAAACAAAGCAAAAGTGGAGGGAAACTTCCTAATTTCTCATGTCATTTGCTCCCAATGTCTTGATGTTGAAAATCTTTCATGGTTGATCTCTCTTGGTTTTACAAAACCAATAGTCCGTTTGGTACACGGAATTTTGAGAATTGGAATTGAAATTCTATGAAATTGAATTCAATAGAATTGAATTCTTCAATTCCAATTCATTTTTTTGCACTACCAATTATAAATTCATACATTTTTATGCTACCAAACACCAAAATTAGAATTGAAGTCTCCAATTCTAATTTCACAGCTTGAATTCCGTGTACTAAACGGAGCCTTACACTATGTTTGGTTCAAGGAATTTGGTAGGAAAAGAAAAGAAAATAGTTTTCCCTCATTTTCCTCACCAAAATGGGAGGAATTTGGTTTTCCTTCCTCTTAGTAAATTTTGCCTTCTCTTTTTCTTTTCCTTCCACTTTTCTTTTCTTTTCCTCTTTAACCAAACAAGAAAAATATTTTCCTTCTCATTTTCTTTTCTTTTCCCTCTCAAATTCCTTAAACCAAATTTAGTGTTAGTGTTTTAGTGATGGAAAATTCAGCCATAATGGGTTAAAACAAGAGAAAGGATATGATGTTGATGAAAGAGTATTGACTTTCGTGGGAGAATTATGACAAACTGTTACTATTAACTCAAAGACTTTCTTTAAGTTGGATTCACAATTAGAGCCCGAAGAAGTTGCTTTGAGTTTTTTTTTAATTATTTGTTACTCACTTTAATTTCTATTGATTTAGAATTCAAATTCTGATTCATATTTCAAGTAGTAAAACCATATTTTTGAAACTTTATGAAGTACTTAGTATAACATTTCCTAGAATTCAAAATAAAACAACAAATATTTTCCAACATGAAAACATTCATCACTAATCAAATTTGTTGTGTATCATTCCCACTAGGCCATGTTTGGTTCTTCACATGTTTGAGGATGTTTGAAATATCAGAAAGGGTCTCTTCTTCCTTTCCAGATGCAGATTTTGTTATCTCTGTTGCTGATCTCCAAATGACACGCAGCCTCACAAGAAATAAAGATCCATCTAGAATGACACCCTGGGTAAAAACATTGTCACCTCATTGCAATGGGCGAAGTCTCTCCTGACCCCTCGTAGCCTAAGTCGTCCTTGTTTGGCTGAATCTTTGGAAGGAAAGGGAAAAAAAGTGGAAGAGTGTGTTCTTAAATGCAATCTTTAGAAAATCAAATAGCGATACTATTTTCAATAACAAACCCAGTAAAATCTCGCAAAAACTAAGGTTTGGGAAGGGCGAGTGGATGCACACTTTGCACCTACTTGAAATGTTGAAAGTAGAGAGGTTTCCAAAAATAAGACGCTATATATGAACATATACGTAGTATTTCATAATGTTTGGACCTTGCAGGGATTTTTGTTCACAGTGTGGACAGATTTTATGAGAATAGCGAACACCATGCAAACACAACAACACCCTTCCTTGAAGAATGCATGACAGAGAGAGCGGAATCTTCTGCAGATCCCTAGTTGCTTTTGCAGGTAAAAGAACTGCCAATCAAAGCAAATACATATATATAAGCTGCTACTTTTGAAAATGCAAATGTAATTTTAGCTGCATTTCATCACTGTTTATGAACTACTACTGTAGTTTCTATGCACATATTGCTTGAAATATTTCTGTATGTGTTGTGTATGGTTGTATCTATCAATATTAACACTAGATATTAATATGAGAGTAATTTGGTTAGATTTATCTTGCAAAATATTTTTAAAATATGGTTTTATCCAATAAATATATTATATAATTTTTATTTAAGTATAGATCAAAAATCGATCTTGATTGATCGCAAAAAAAATAAAAGTTTACTAAAAACTAATCAAGGAAGGATTCCATAAAGAATTGTACTCCGTAAGAACTTGAAATAAATTTAAAAAGAATTAAGAATCTAAGCAAAAATGTTATAATAATGTTGGGGTTTGTTGATTTTCCGGCCACCTCTTCCTCCTCAAACCACCGTGGCATTGCATCTTCAAGGTGCTCTTCGCCGGCGGCCCGTGTTTCTTTATGAATCCCATCTTTCTCAATTCTCCCTCCCACACCGAACTAATTAGTCACGCAATCTTTTGTATAAGTTTGTAAGCTGAAGAGCACACACCAGCTTGCTACTTCATATAACTTTAGATTATAATATGAAATTCTTGGTGGCAGTCTTATTAATATTTGAAAGATGTCATTTCATTTTTCTAGTATAAATAAAGCTGCCCCAAGAATTTCATATTTATCAATTTAAATGTTAAGATTTTTTTGTTTCCTTTTTGCATCGTTATATGATAATTTGCCGCCGTTCAACTGACATTTAACTTAAATGTCATGGTATGACATTTTAATTCTCTGCCATTAAATTTAATAACTTTTTAGATCATGGATCAGATTTATTCATCATTTTTTTAGATTTACCTCACCTAAAGTTAACGGAGCCCCCACCCACTGCTCCGTCTCTGCTTCTCTCGTCTCTATTAATGTTTCTTTATTCCAAAATATTCCCCCATCTCACTCATCTCTTTCTTTTCGTTTTGATTTCTTATAGTCAATTTTTTAAATTTTGACCAAGAATTATGATAAAAATATTTGGAATTTTTAAATGAATTTAATATCAGTAATTTTGACACATAGACATAGTTTTGAAATATCATATTTTTATAATCTATGAATATAACAGTATAAAAATAGAGATATTAATGGTGAAACATGTTATACCCCTTAATGGCTCCACCAAATACCACCTCTTAAAATATCGAAAAGTATTTTGTCCTTTGTTAATCAAAATAAAGATCACATCATTTCCCCACATGATGGACGAAAATCAAAGAGAAGAAGTCCACAAAGGAATAGTATTGGCTTGTGTTCTTGTGTTACAAAAGTCTTACTTTTGATTTTCACTCCATAAGGCCAAAATTAGCTATTAATCATCTTCTAAGTGTGAGTCTTTTTCCAGACTAAATTAAGACCAAATGATCTCCTGCATAATGGCAAAAAAATCAGGAGAAAAAAGGTTTTTGAGTGAATAGTGACAGTTTGTCATAATTTTGCCACAAAAACCAACTCTTTTTTGGTGATTTTATAAAAAAAAATAGGTTTAGGAATAGAACATGGGAGGAGCGGAATGGAAGAATTAAGGTAGGAAGGGGTAAACTAAATTAGAAATAAAAGATACACACACTCTTATCTTGATTTGGAGTCAAATTAATACTAAAGCATAAATGCATCTCTAGAATAACTTTGGATTCTTTTTTGTATTATGAAGAAGAATGGGATATCAAGAGAGAATGATAAATTTAGAAATGATGGGATAAATACCAAATCAGTGTTAAGAGATATACATGCTCTTATCTTAATTTAAAGCCAAATTAATACTAAAAGATATACGCACTTCAAGATTAACTTGGGTTAAAGTCTTGAATTTAATTAAGATATATACATTTAATTAAATAACTAAAACCTAAATCTCACATTTAAGAGAATCACTCTTAAGATATTGAATTGGGATTTTGGTTAGAATAACATCACACTATTTTAAAGGATTACTTAAAGAGTAAACCAAAGAGTTTTTCATTATCAAAGTCTTGGAGTACAAGGTCATATGGCCGAACTTATATATGTAACAATGGAAAGACAATTAGCTAATAATACACACAATAAGACAAAGCAAAAGTGGAAGGAAACTTTCTAATTTCTCATGTCATTTGCTCCCACTCTCTTGAGGTGGAAAATCTTTCATGGCTGATCTCTCTTGGCTTTACAAAACCAATAATTTTTAGGGTCCGTTTGGTACAAAACCAATTCATTTTTTACACTACCAATTCCAAATTTACATATTTTTGTGCTACCAAACACCAAAATTGGAATTGAAGTCTCCAATTCCAATTCCACGATTTGAATTCCGTGTACCAAACGGAACCTTAGTGTTTTAGTGGTGGAAATTTCGGCCATAATAGGTAAAAACAAGACAAGGGATGTTGATGAAAGAGAATTGACTTTTGTGGCACAATTATAACAAACTGTCATTATTCTCTCAAAGACTTTCTTTTAGTTCTATTGATTTAGAATTCAAATTCTGATTCATATTTCAAGTAGTAAAACCATATCTTAAAGTAGTAAAACTTTATGAAGTACTTAGTATAACATTTCCTAAAATTCAAAATAAAACAACAAATATTTTCCAACATGAAAACATTCATCACTAATCAAATTTGTTGTGTATCATTCCCACTAGGCCATGTTTGGTTCTTCACATGTTTGAGGATGTTTGAAATCTCAGAAAGGGTCTCTTCTTCCTTTCCAGATGCAGATGCTGTTATATCTGTTGCAGCTGCAACATTTTCTTCCACCTGCTACCACCAACAACCAATATATGAGTACTTCACAATGCTTAAAAACTTAAAAACAGGGAAAACAGGCTTCATATTATTCCCTGGAATTAGGTTGATAACCATGTTTGGAACCGAAAAGTATAGGAATCACAAGATACGAAACAATACTCAGATTTCTAAAATTACATGTAGTCTGTTAGTCTCACATTGAACAAGAAAGTATATTCGAGCAAGTGAGAACATGGACAAAAATGTCTCAATTTGAGAGACCCCATAGAATTTCAAGAAAATAGGGCCTGGGGAGAATGTGTGTACGCATAACTTTCCCTTACTTGACAGTAAAGAGGATGTTACCAAGAGATAATAAAGAGGGGCCAAAAAGACTACTGCGTATTATGTAAGGATATGAGTTACTTCTCCCATTGTGAATTGGTTTTGGGTTGGAATGTTATAATTCTACATGTAGGAATGAAATGAATTCCTCATTCTAAATATTGCGGGAATGAGATGAATTTCAGTTATTCCCACCATGATATGATCTGATTCCTTGTCCCATGCTGCATGCTTTTCGCGGATGATATTGTGCTTATCGACGACACACGTGAGGGACTAAATGATAAGTTGGAATTATGGCGCCTTGCCCTTGAGACTAAAGGATTCAGAATAAGTAGGAACAAGACTGAATACATGGAGTGTCGTTTCAGTGGCCGGGATACAGAATCAGAGGTGGAAGTCAGGATTGACTCTCACCTAGTACCTAAGGTAGACAAGTTTCGTTATCTTGGCTCGGTAATCCAGGCTGATGGGAAGTTAGATGCAGGTGTTGGACATCGTGTTGGAGTGGCTTGGCCAAATGGAGGTTAGCTTCAGGGGTGTTGTGTGATCCGAAGATTTCGCCTAGAATGAAAGGTAAGTTCTATCGATCCGTAGTCAGACCTGCTATGTTATATGGGGCAGAGTGTTGGGCGGTTAAGAAGACTCATGTGCGTCGTCTGCATGCGGCGGCGGAGATGCGGATGTTACGATGGATGTGTGGGAAGACAAGGTTGGATAGGATTTCGAACGAAGTTATCCGACGACAGGTAGGCATGGCACCGATGGAAGATAAGTTGCGGGAAGCGAGGTTGAGATGGTTTGGCTATGTGAGAAGGCGGGATGCTGACGCCCCTGTACGGAGATGCGAGAGGATCACAGTTATCGGGGGAAGTAGGGGAAGAGGTAGACCTAGGAAGAATTGGAAAGAGGTGATTAGGCAGGATTTAGGACTTCTCGACCTGACTGAGGATATGACCCTAGATAGGAACCTTTGGAAAACTAGGATTAGAGTAGCTGGATAGGAGCTCGGTGTTGTAGAGGTTGTTTTGTAGTGTGTTGTATTTGTTTGGAATCTTCTGCTATTGCTTGTACTTGGTGCTTTATCTGTGTTATACTGTGTTCCCTTCCATATTTTTGTGCAGGTGGAGCCGGGGGTCTCTTGGAAACAGCCTCCCTACTTCCGAGTAGGGGCAAGGTCTGCGTACACACACCCTCCCCAGACCCTACTATTGTGGGATTCACCTGGGTTGCTGTTGTTGTTGTTGTCTTGGTAACTAAATTTATAGTAATTTAATGAAAAAAAGAAGCCATAATCATTATGCAACAACTTGCTCTAAAAATACATTAAACAACACCCCATTTTCTTGCACATACTTTTTTTAATAACAATATCAACCGTACAAAATCAAATTTTTCGACATAAAATACACAGTCCATGAATGGATATGAATCTTTTTTCACATGTTTCATTGTCCCTTAAACCCGGTCTGTCAATAAGAGTCAAGTAAGAAGAGAAGTTCCCAACTCGAGCCTTTTCAAACAAAATGCGGAAAATGGTAAATAAAACTGCAAATTTGTTTCAAAAATTTATCAAAGTGCAGAAACAAGGTGAAGAAGCATAACCTGTGCCACAGACTTCATTCCAACTAGTATTGTAGAAACCTCTGCATTAGCCAAGCTGTATTTAATAGCTATCTTTGAGATGTTCTTCCCCTTTCCCTTGCAATAAGAAGCAGCAGCTCGACACGCAGCCTGACAAAGGAAACCAAAAATATGAAAGAGTGAAAAAATGGCTGACTCACACAAAAACTCTACGCAGAAATGAAAATAGACCTTGAGTTCAGGTGATGCAGGGTGCCACTCCGGGGGACCAGGCTCAGTAAGGAGACCCATTGCAAGAGGAGAAGCACTAATCACTCCCACACCCTTTCTCTTCAAATAGGGCAGTAGATCCTCCAATGTTGAGTCATTAATGCTGTAATGGCAATAGGACATAACTACATCAACCGTACCTTGAGGAATCCGATCAAGCACATAAGTGAAGATCTGCAAGGGAAGTCCAGTTATACCAATGAAACGAGCTTTCCCGGCTTCCTTCAGTTTCACAAGCACAGGAATTGTCTCATTCACTATCTGGAGGTTCAAGATTTAACAAAACGGTAGAAGTCAGATATTCACTTATCAGAAACATATTTTATGATTCAAAGATGTGTCTTCTAAACATAATATACCCATTGCACAAAATGTCAAGTTTGTAGAAAATATACTCCAATCTGGGTATTATTACCTGATCAAGAGACCCAAATTCAATGTCATGACAATGGAGAATATCAACATAGTCAAGCTGGAGCCTCTCCAAGCTCTCGTCAATACTCCGAGTCACTCTTTCTGCGCTGAAATCGAAGCCTTCCTTGTACCTCCCGCACTTGGTGGACACAATGTATTGATCTCTGGCTACTCCCAGTGCCTTCAGAGCCTTCCCGAGTACCTTCTCCGACAATGTTCCCCCATAGTACCTAAAACCATCAACAGAACTAATGTAAACAGTTGCAGAAACAATCAAGTCGGACCATCTCTAACCCTAACTCATAAACAGCCCAGAAATTTCAGAAACCCCAACCACAGTACCACGGCAAATGAAGAAGGAATCGGCAAATAGAAACAAGAATAAGATATGAATTGATCGGAAAAAAATGAAGAGAATTAAAGGAGAGGGGAGGGTGAATACGGAGAGGTGTCGAAGAAGTTGATTCCGAGGCAGAAGGCACGGCGGACGGCGCCGAGAGCCTCTTCTTCGGAGACATTCCCGAAGACATTGCCAAGTGGGGAGGCTCCGAATCCGATGGAGCTTACATTCAAGCCGGTATTGCCCAGTGGTCTGAGTTCTATAACGCCGGCCGCCGGAGGAGACATTTTCGTGGCCAGAGACTACCGCTTATCTGCGGGTGCTCACATTTTGGTCTTTATTTTACTTTTTTGTCATCTCAAAAGATAATTTTTTCATTCCTTTTAAAGTAAATAATTAATGCTTTAAGTTACTTCTCACTGTAAATCGCAAACACAGTTTTTTTTATTTAAATTAAATATTGGAAAAGTTAAAATGGAAAATTTAATTTGAGATAAAAGCAATATATTTTTAGATTTATACTTTGGGAAAAGCATTTTGTGAATATGCATTATTTAAATGTTGTTCTTTTGATACTAAAGGTTAGTGCATAATATGATATTAATCAATTTGAAAAAATTAGTTACAAAATTCATACTTCTTTCGTCCCATAAATATTTTTCCATTTTGATTTTTAAAAAAATTAAGGAAGGAATATTTTGTGTTGACTTTTCAAAAATATCTTTGATGTGATGAGTAAAAATATAACATGACAAAGAGTAAAATACGTAATAAACAAAGAGAATGATATTTAAGCGATGTATGAACATACAAAAAAAACCCAAATGACCAAGTAGAGACAAGACTAGGTGAAAATTTTCCAAAAATGTTCTCGATGCGTGTAATTTGAATTTTAATCAAAAGCTAATACCGATATAGTGACGAGATACAACTTCCTCAAACCTAATCAATGAAAAAACAACGAGAACGACAAATAAATCAGGTAGAATCCCATAGAAAGTCGGAACTAGGGTCTAGAGAGGGTGTGTGCATGCGGACATTATCTCTACGGAAAATGGTGAAACCAAATTTTTTAAATGGGGAGGAAAGGGCTATTGGTACAAAACACCGTTCATTTCACTTGAACAGATTCTTGAATCTCCGGCAAGCTTCAATCACATTCTCTCTGTGTCCAAAGGCACTGACCCTAACAAAACCTTCTCCAGCGGGCCCGAACCCACTCCCGGGAGTGGTCACCACATGAGTCTTCTCGAAAATCTCGGCAGACACTTCTCACGAGCTCCGACCAGGGAAGTGGACCCACACGTACGGTGCATTCTTCCCTCCGTACACTTTAAAGTCTAACGAACGAAACGTCTCCATTATGATGCTCGTGTTTTCTTTGTAATAGCTAACAGTTTCCAACATGGCCTGAACGGAAAATATGCATGGCTCGAGACTTGATGTTAAAATTAACTATAAATAATTGTAACCTACAGTGACCATAGTACCATATTAATAGCATGCTCTATTCACCGTATTTTTAACTAGAATCTGGAGGTTGGAAGTTGAAGTCAAGAGATTAAAGTCTGAATGCAATAGTAATTTTACCTAAAATCTAAAGTCCAGAGACTGATCTCAAATCTGACACCTATGGCATCACTGATCTCAAATCTGACACCTATGGTCACTGACTTTAGATTTTAGATAAAATTACTATTGCATTCAGACTTTAATCTCTTGACTTCAACTTCCAACCTCCAGATTCTAGTTAAAAATACGGTGAATAGAGCATGCTATTAATATGGTACTATGGTCACTGTAGGTTACAATTATTTATAGTTAATTTTAACATCAAGTCTCGAGCCATGATGCACTGCATATTTTCCGTTCAGGCCATGTTGGAAACTGTTAGCTATTACAAAGAAAACACGAGCATCATAATGGACGTTTCTTGTACCTGAAATCGAAGCCTTCCTTGTATCTCCCGCACTTGGTGGACACAATGTACTGATCTCTAGCTACTCCGAGTGCCTTCAGAGCCTTCCCGAGTACCTTCTCCGACAATGTTCCCCCATAGTACCTAAAACCATCAATAGATCTAGTTTAAACAGTTGCCGAAACAATCAAATCGGACCATCTCTAACCCTAACTCATAAACAGCCCAGAAATTTCAGAAACCCCAACCACAGTAGCACAGGATGACCGCGGCAAATGAAGAAGGAATCGGCAAATAGAAACAAGAATAAGATATGAATTGATCGGAAAAAAAATGAAGAGAATTAAGGGAGAGGGGAGGGTGAATACGGAGAGGTGTCGAAGAAGTTGATTCCGAGGCGGAAGGCACGGCGGACGGCGGCGAAAGCCTCTTCTTCGGAGACATTCCCGAAGACATTGCCAAGTGGGGAGGCTCCGAATCCGATGGAGCTCACATTCAAGCCGGTATTGCCCAGTGGTCTGAGTTCTATCGCGCCGGCCGCCGGAGGAGACATTTTCGTGGCCAGAGACTACCGCTTATCTGGTGGTGCTCACATTTTGGTCTTTATTTTACTTTTTTGTCATCTCAAAGATAATTTTTTCATTCCTTTTAAAGTAAACAATTGTATGAACAAATACTACCTTGTAATAGAATCAATAGCATTCAAAAAAAAAGTAAACAATTAATGCTTCAAGTTACTTCTCCCCGCATATCACAAACACAGTTTTTTTTTAAATTAAATATTGGAAAAGTTAAAATGGAAAATTTAATTTGAGATAGAAGCAATACATTTTTAGATTTATACTTTGGGAAAAACATTTTGTGAATATGCTTAATTTAAATGTTGGTGTTTTTTGATACTAAAGGTTAGTGCATAATATGATATTAATCAATTTGATAAAATTAGTTACAAAATTCATACTTCTTCCGTCCCATAAACATTTTTCCATTTTGATTTTTAAAAAAATTAAGGAAGGAATATTATGTGTTGACTTTTCAAAAATACTTTTAATGTGATGAGTAAAAGTATAATATGACAAAGAGTAAAGTACGTAATAAACAAAAAGAGAATGATATTTAAGCATTGTATGAACATAGAAAAAAAAACTAAATGACCAAGTAGAGAAAAGACTAGGTGGAAATTTTCCAAACAATGCTCTCGATGCGTGTAATTTGAATCTTAATCAAAAATAATGGGGATGAAAGGGCTATTGGTACAAAACACCGTCCATTTCAGTTGAACAGATTCTTGAATCTCCGGCAGGCTTCAATCACATTCTCTCTGTGTCCAAAGGCACTGACCCTAACAAAACCTTCTCCAGCGGGCCCGAACCCACTCCCGGGAGTGGTCACCACATGAGTCTTCTCAAGAATCTCAGCAAACACCTCCCACGAGCTCCGACCCGGGAAGTGGACCCACACGTACGGCGCGTTCGTTCCTCCGTACACTTTAAAGTCTAACGAGCGAAACGTCTCCATTATGATGCTCGTGTTCTCTTTGTAATAGCCAACAGTTTCCAACATGGCCTGATAATGAGAAGAAAAAATGCAGTGCATCATGGCTCAAGACTTGCTGTTAAAATTAAACACTTGCCCTTGTTTGGTCTAAGATTTTGGAGGGGAGGAATCCAACCCAAAAAAAAACCCCCTTCTCTACCCTTATGTTGGTTCCCTTGAAACCAGGGTTTTTAGGAGGGAAACCCAAAAAATTGATTAATTTATCCTACCAATTTAATTAAATTTGCATCTATTCCCCATGTATGGTATGATATTAAAAAAGGACTAAAATATATGGGTATAAGTGTATAACAGTAAACTAGTCATTACATCTCCTCTAATTCTTTTGAGCCAAACAAAGAATCATTCATTTCTTTCCCCTTCCATCCCTTGCCCTTGTGTCATATCAATCCCCTTCCATTCCCCATCAAACCAAACATAGCCCAAGAGTTTGGAGATGGCAGTCTGGATAATTTGAGTTAAAAATTGATGACGGGCATTTAATTAATAACTATTGTCACAACTTAAAACACAAGTGGTATCAGCAGCTGATTGTGAGTTTATGGCTTTATGTTTCATGGAACATACCTCAAGGCCTTCAGGTGAAAGGCAAGCTAGGCCGCCAGATTGTGCAATATTGGATGCACCGTTGAAGCATGTACAGACAATGCGATTGAAATCCTTAGCCACCGGGAATCCATCAGAATATAATAGAGATTTTGGAATGACGGTCCAACCTAATCGAACACCAGTGAAACCAGCGTATTTGGAAAATGAGGAAACCTCAATTGCAACCTGAAAGTTAACCACAAGATTATAACAACAAACAAATTCAATATAATCCCCCAAAAGTAGGGTCTGGACAACTGATTCCAGACGCATAAAAATAAAAAATCGAACAGTTAAATCTGAACAACGCATTACTTTGTGTATGTATTTATTTTTAAGTCATTTTGCAAATAATTTTTTAACTGAAAATAATGTTTATGTTATTACTCCAGTGTCTTCACTTTGGGGCATGAAGAAGTGGCATGGATATTTAGGAAGAGTGTAATTGCGTGGTTGATGTTGAATATGTAAAGTATGATGGATAAACTGATAAAGTAATAACGTTCATGGACCACACAAGTATGGAATAGAATAAAGATAGCATGACATAAATTAATGGGGAAAAGCGAATAAAACATAGTCAAACGAAGGAATCAGTAATATAGTTCCTCTGTTCTTTGTTAAATAAATGCAACATCAAGATTTTCATGTTGCCAATGCATAAAGTAAATCATTAATATCTTCAATATGTTTTGTTAAAATTATAAAAAGCTGATACTCACAAAAGTTTATATCGAGACGAATAAAACAAAACCTCACATGACTATATTTTGCTTTATGTATAAATCACTAAAAATAGTCAAAAAAGTAACAAGAAGTTGAATTTGGGAAAGAGGGAGTATATTCTTTATATTTCCAAATATATGTAAGTAGCTTTCTTTAATAAATAAGCGACGCGGCATTACCTCTTTGGCTCCAGGGATTTCAAAGATGGATTTTGGACTTTCATCTGATATATACATTGCATATGCAGAATCATAGACTATGATTGACCCATTCTTCTTAGCAAATTGCACCAATTTAGTAAGCTGGTCCCTTGATGCAGTTGAACCAGTTGGGTTATTAGGTGAACAGAAAAATATGATATCTGCCCTTGGAACAGATGAAAGGTCCGGGAAAAAGCCATTTTCTGGTGTACATTTCATGTACACAATATTCTCATACTTCTGAACATCCTTCTGGTACTGCCCAGTTTGACCTAATATAACACTAGAGTCCACATATGCCTGCAATGAAAAAGAAAGATTTAAAAAGTTACGTTGAATTGTGATTTTTTCTGGTGTTTTTTTACCTTAGTTAGTAGCTTATGCATGTGTTTTTCATGTACTTTGGATTTTGTTGCTAGTGTCGGTATGTATGCAACGTGTTGCTATGTTCTTACTTTGTTCGTGCTACTCTGTTTAATGTGTTACTTTGTCTGTGCTTCTTTGTTCTAAGTCGGAGGTCCCTTGGAAACAGTCTCTCTGCTTTCAAGCCAGGGGTAAGGTTTGCATACACACACCCTCCCTAAACCCTACTTTTTGTGGGATATTACTGGGCTTGTTGTTGTATGCTGACCTGTGAAGCCACAAACTGATTCTACCATAAGTGCTTTCTCATTTTCATTTAAGCACTTAACTGCTTTGCTAAATTAGCATAAAATGTTGTCATATGTTGTTGAAAGCATTTTATTTCTATGTTCCTGGAAAAAGCTTCTTTTTGAAGCAAAAGCGTTTTCCTTCCTTGATTTTCACTAATTGCCAGAGAAGAAATCATCTCTCTAAGTCAATTTACCGGGTATGATGGGTCTTGCACAGCCATTGTCACATTAGATCCAAAGAGAACCTGGTCAAGGAAAAAGGATAGTGTTAACAAGCATCAAGCATTTCATTAGAGTCGGTCCAGAAAGAAGAAGCAAAATAAATCTCAAACCTGAAGTCGTGATACGTCACTTTTAGCACCATCTGACACAAAAATATCATCATCCTCAATGTCAAGATTTGAGTAAAAAGTTGAAGCTATTGCAGATCGTACTGACTGTTCAACCATGTGTGGATAAATTTAAGACATTTTAAAGAACGTGTGTGTGTATTGAAACTTCAATCACTCATAAATTTCGGCAATAGATAAATAGTAAAATAGGACCAGATGGAGTAACATTCTGGGACCTATGAATATAAATGTCACCCCAGTTCATATATACTTGTTTCAAGTTTCATCAACAGGGAAAAACAGAATCAGAATCAATAAAACAGATAGTAAAAGATGGAAGGCAAAGGTGTACTTTTTCTCCTTGTTCAGCTCCATAGCCACTATAGCCCTCAAGAGTTGACAATGCATGGGCTCTCTATCAATATGAAAATAATAAAATAAGTCCATTAGGATATTGCCGGTCCCTCAGTTTTGAAAAACATAAGAAACTTCAATAGTCATCCCATCATAGAAAAATTCCTATAAAGTGCGAGGCTTTGTACTTCTGCAAATAAAAACACTCTTGAATCTAATAAAATACCAATTTTAAACTGACCAAATTTATATCAGTGATGAGAAGGATGAAATTTGCCAATATCAAGCACTCAAGGATCATAACGATTTGAAAGCAGTAACTTTACTTCGTAAAGAGCGATGGTATTATACATCGATGAATGTGAATTGCAACACAAACAAGTACGGTAAAGATCTGTTTGGAACCCGGATAATGCATGAGGAAGAAAATAGAGAGGAAAATTAAAATGAATGAAAAATTGGGGGAAAGAAAAGATAAATTCGAACTCAATAAATATATTTTAGATATTTGTTTAAAAACTAAGTAATCTAAATATTCAGAGAATTTTTTTAGAACTACATAATATCCTGGTCCATTACTTCTTAAAGTAAAAGTGTAAAACCAAAAAACACAAACTTTCCTTTGTCTAGAGTTTTCGAGTTCCAAAAATACCCTTAAAAGCCAAAGTACTTTGCCTAAATGGGTCCGCATACAACATTAAAAGCACACACTACCTTTGCCATAGCAGATGCTATCACATCAGGAATGGGCTCAGTAGTGTCACCAATTCCAAGGCTTATAATCTGGGCATCAGGGTGCTTCAACATGTGTGCAGCTCTTCTTCTAGCAATCTAAGGAAAAAACATCAACATTTATGATTCTTTCTTTTCTTTCAACATCTACTACAATGTAGGGAAATATCTTTAAGAGATAATATTACATAGAGAGAGGGAGATGGGATCAGATAGATACGTACTTCAGGAAAGAGATAACCAGCTTGAAGTTTACCCAAGTTTTCATTACGAGAGACGTTCGTCTTGTAAGCTTCATGGAATGCATGAGAAATAAATAGGCAAGCCAACCGTTTAAAAGAATAATATAAACAGAAAACATGTGATGCATGCAATGCTCATTTCCAAAAGCACATATCAATTACTTTGGCAGATTTTGCAACTAGCAAATTTTGTATACGACACCAAACAGAATATGAATATATGCTTCACTTTGTTGAGTGTTATAGAAACCTAAAATAAGCAATTTTGATGCCAAAGTTTTTAATATTACTTTGTAATATTGAAGACTCCACTAAGCATAGTGCTCATTTCAGTCCATTTTTCTTTTAGGCTCAATCTCGTCCTAAACTGTGCAATTTGGACCCAAGTAATTATTCAGGCAAATTTAAATTTAACTTAGAATGGTATTTTTATTAATTAGTAGTTGAGGAGCATAATTTAATCAAATTATCTAGTGGCTACTTGATACAGTATTGAGTTTGAAATTTGGTCAAAATTCAGTGATCAAACTTTACTAAATTCTGGCAATTATGTGCGAGGACTAAATCATGTCAAAAATCCCACATTCAATACACAGACCAAATTGAGTCCCAAAAAATGAATGACCAAATTCAGTTACTCCGTAGGCATACAATCAATTGACTAAATAAAATGTTCCTTGCCCCCAACCGACCGGCTGTTTTTGTCTGATCTACTATTCGGGTCAAACTAAATCTACTTTATTTACCTATTTTCATTTATCAATCTATCATTTGTTAAAATAATAGTCATGTCCTTTTGTTTTGAAGAACTTTTGATGTCGTTTATATATATATATATATATATATATATATATATATATATATATATATATATATATATATATATATATATATATATATATATATATATATATATATATATATATATATACGGAGTAATTTTAAATTTTTAAATCAACACAAGTATTTAGATAAATTACTGGGAAAAAGGTTTCAGTCAAAATGGGACAAAAAATAGTGAGACGGAGATAGTAGTTCTAAATGAAACTACAACACTTTTTCAGTTTTATATCATTTTTGTGTGAATGCAATTTATACCAGTTTGCTCGAGTGTTGCAACACATTTCACTACCCCAATAGTTTTCCGCACAAGAGAAACTTGTTGAGCCCTGAAAGGAATTGCGGTTCCAAAAATTCAATATTAGTTATTCAAGAGATTCATACAACTGTAATAGGAAAACATGTTAAGGAAATTCAGTACACATTTCACATACGTAGTATGAAGAATGATACTAAAATGACTACCTTGAGTTGACCTTGAGGCCTAAGAAGGGACAGGTTGAAGACACTGAATGACATTGACTAGGATTAATTGCTGCCATCTCTCAAAAGCTAGACAATAAAAACTGAAACTTTCAGTCCTTCCCAATCCTACACAGAATAAAAAGTTGCCGCTTTCACCTCATGAAAAAATGAATGGTCTTTAGAGAAGATTTAAAGTCCAGAACTTGGTGAGAAAGATATAAGGAAAATTTGAAATGGCTATTTGGATTCATTTCAAATTTGATTATAAGAAGAAAAATTTAGGATGGCAATATTTAGTTGATACTGAATTGCTGCCCAGCAAGAAACCATCACATAAATGCATAGGAAATCATCATCTGCACTATCACTGTATGCATGTTTGAATCAAGGTTTTAAAAGGCAAAAACGAGCCTCGAGGCGGTTAGGAAAAATGCCTTGAGGCGTAAGCCTAGCCTTAGTTCAACTTGAAAAAATAACGAAATAAAACTGCTTAGGTACAATAAAATGCATAATTCCTAATTCCTAAATATGAAAAGTCATACATATGTTTTCATTTGAACCAAAAAAAAAGAGTAAAATAAAAAGGCAATAAAAAAATCCACATTCATGACATCATTTTGAGACTTCAATTCTAGTCTGCAGGTTTTAGACTACTTATTGTCCATTCCATAAACATTGTCCATATCTTTCTTATCATGGGAGTAAAAAGCAATGTATTTTACTAAAAAAACTATGAAATACTATAAGCACATCGGTTACAAATGTCATGATTTTTGTTAATTAAACAACTTTATAATTGAAATGGTAAAAGATGAAGCGATTAGAAAATAAGATAATTATAGAACAAAAAAGCATACCTTAGTTCTACTTTCTACTGCAAGAGAGAAGTGAGACGACTACAAAAAGGAAAGTTAGGTTAGGTTTATTTGGGGTTTTATCAAAGAATCTAAATTTTAAAAAAAGTACAAGCCCATGTTTTTGAAAAAGGCCCAATATTTCTAGAACGCAACATTTCTCAAATGCGAGCATTCCCAAGTCCCAACTACATAGAAACAGCAGCACTCATCCCCGTACCATATCCAACAACATATGAAGAAGATAAAGGGTACAGAAAACAACAATTTATTTAAAAAATTCAAATAAAAATAGAGTACAGATAAAAAAACAAAAGTGATGGGTTAAGAACAAGGAGAGTAACAACTCGAATGGAATTAAAATTTGAACTTGATGATCGGAGGACGAGAAGCTGCAGTACGCACCGGAAAATAGTTGCCGGAGACAACACCCGGCTGGTCAGACCTGAACGCGGAGGAGAAAGGGCGGCTCGTGCAGAAATGCAGACGGAGGGGAAGAGGCCAAAGTACAAATAAGGATCAGGGCAGGATGGATCTGATGGGCTAAATTCTTTACCCATACCCGCCGCCCATCTTTGCGGCTGGACTGCCCACAGGGCCGCCCGGCCCGGATAAAACATCAAGAAAGCAGTCTTTTTTAATGTTTAAAATAAAATAATCAGTCACCACATTTATATAGAAAGCATAATAGAGATATTGTTGCATATTTAATAAACTCATCATATTGATTCATTAAAAGAGTATTGGTTTTGTTTAAAAGAGATGAGTGAGTTAAACTATAATACATGAATTATAGAAATTTTTTAAATTTATATTGGTTAGGTAAATAATAATAAATTAAATATATTTGATGAATATGGGCGGGCCTGTTGGCCCGGATGGGCTAAAAGTGACTTCCAGATCCGCCCATATATAACTCGGGCTTGGGCCGGCCCGCCCATTTGGGTATTAAAGGTTGTCCATATCCGCCCTTTTTAAAGGGCGGGCTGGGCGGGCCGAACGGGCCGACCCTTGTTTGCACAGGTCTAGGCCGAAGTTTGTTGCTTATTGGGCCAGTTCTCACCAGTCACGACCTTTATTTGGTTACTGGGAGAGAGATGAAATAAAAATTTAAAAACATTTTATATGTTAAATCTAAAGATTTAATTATATTTTTGGTCCCTGTAAAATTTGTGAGATTTGTTGTTGGTCCTTCCAAAAAGTTTTTTAATTGAATTTTCCCTGTGAAGTTATTATTTTTTCAAATAGTCCATATTTTACTATAAATAGACTTCAAGCCATAGAAAAAAAAAAGTCAAATTAGATCTACACCATTTCTATAAACTTCATTATCTCGAACTTCAAACTCCATCAATGGCCACATCAATATATAATAAGCTATCATCATTGGCCTGATATGCCGGATAAGGCTAATGATTTTCTCTCAATTTAGATTTCATATTCATTATATTTATTATCCGATATCATATACGGTGTATATTATACTCCGTATATCCCAATGAGTAATGCTAGGGGTACACCAATTTGGTGTATACCCCATTTGTACATCATTCATTCTTTGCACATTTTAGTGTATCACTAACATTTTTGATATCGAGACAGATTGAAATTCATCAACTGTAAATTTGAAACCATATTAATATTAACACACTTCATGTTTCTGCTCATAGACAACCAAACCAAGTATGATTCCATTACATATCCAAAAAACCTCAGGCAAGATTGTTCTCATTCTTCAATTTTTACACTTGGCCAGCTATACTTTAGCTGCCACTGGGACTAGCACTTCTTCAGCTGCTGCTACTTTGGTTGGGAGCACTAGAGGTGCTACTTTAGCCACACTTATCTCACTTCTTAACTTGTACACAAAAAAAAAAGAGCAACTCTTTAAGCATCAAGACTCGTCCACCTGGTGATCCGTCTCATCGTAAATCTCCTCCTACAAACACAACATCAAGAATCAGATAAACATAAACATGTTCGCAAGAACCCAATTTTGGCGTCTATGCCAAAATTGTGTTTTTGTAACAAAAACTAGCTTTTTTATTTTTTTTTCCGAATATTAGATGTTTTCCTACCTGTAAAAGTTCTTCAATAACATCTTCCATAGTTATGATCCCGACTACCTCCTCTTCTTCAGGGAGTTTTGGCAAAGGGTTTCCGTCCATTGGCAAGATATCTGCGTACATGTCCTTCATCCATTTCTTGCTCCGTGATCCCTTGAGTGAATTACTACCACTGTTGGGAAAACTCTTCCACTTCTGCATTGATCGCTTCATCTTCAGACTCTTTTGCAAAGGATTCTTTTCGCCATCAATGTCTACCTTCACCTCAGCTACTGCATCTAGAGATTTTTTTTAATGTGGTAAAGAGTGTGAATATCATGATTGGGTAAAACCCGACTAAATTCAAAATAAATCAACAAAGAGTTTGGATCTCGAGTTTACAAATAAAATATTGAATTCCACTCAAGAGTCGAAGTTTTAAATACTCCGTACTAGTTAGTTCAATGTTTGGGTTGTACATTATGGAGTATGAATCAATCATTCCAACATATTTAATTCAATATTTGGGTTATACTAACATAGACCTATGGTCTAAAACTAGGTTTTCCCATCATTTTGTCGCTAGTTTCTCACAATTGATCTCAACATGGATAATTAATTGATGAAGCCCAATGCAAATTAATTGAACTCGAAATGCACCAAAAGTTTTCAGGACCGTTTTTGGGTTCTAGACGTTAGCACCAAAACTTCATTCCAGTTCCAATTTAGGTTTTTACTACGTGGAAATAACTATAAAAAAGGAAAGGACGCAGATGGGGCTAGGAAATGGGCTAGGCTGTGGATATGAATTTATTATCATGCCCCCCCCCAAAAAAAATTAAATTATTGTTTACTGAGTACCATTTACTGTGTGGGGTATGATGGTAAATACACTTGTTACCTAACCCATTTTCAGACCTTACCCAGCCACTATCATTTCTCAAAAAATATCAATATTCTAATATTTCCCGCCTACCTCTGCCTAGGAGCCAAGTCTCCATTAGACACCCACAGGCCACAACTTATCCCGGCTGTGAACTATGTCTCAAATAATCCCCATCTAAGAGCCCTTAAGAGCAAGGCTCTAATTGACTAACTAGGGGATCTGGGGATGTCTAGCACTTTTCAAAATTACTGATAAACAAAGTCATTACCACTGCTTGGGGATTGAGTAGCAGTCTGAGGTGTCTGCTTGTCGCATTGCCGAACAACAACAGCCATGTGGCTGTGACCCTTCTGAAACTCATTCAAGATGTCATCTAATGGCATAGTTTCCAAAACCCTGAGAGCCAAAAAGGTGGTTTGTAGCCATCAATTACCATAGGCATCAACCAGTGAGCATTTTAACTTACAGAAAGACGATAGAAGTAATGGTTGTTTCCAATTTCCAAATTCACTGATGGTTATGCTTGATCGCTACACAGCAAAATAACTTACAAGCATAATATAAAAAAGATTTACCGTGGTATCCTTCGAATAGTAACATTTTTCACAGGAACTCTGTCTTCTGGATGGACAGTCAGCAAGTTTTTGACCTATAAAATCATACAAAATGGAGAAAGCATAAGTGTATATCTTCATCAAGAAATGTGCACACCACTTACTAAATGTTGACATCTGTGCATGAAATATTTCCCTGATTCTGAACTCATTGAAGTTTAGATGAAATAACTACCCATTCATATGCAACTCAAGTAAATTTGGTCGCAAGTAATGTTTGTATGTGTGTTTCCAAGCTTAAGCAAAAACATGTTTACGAAGTAGAACCTACCAGGTATTAGAAGATTATAATCTTGGATACAAAGAAACTGTCCAAAACCGATTTAAATGGAGAATAGACCCAAAATTTTATGGACCAATATTTTAGATGAAAGGGTTTGGAAGGGTTTGGAAGTGCATGAGAAGCATTATATTCATCAGGATATAGACTAAGCCCTCCAAAGCTTTCCCCTCCAAAGTCCAAAGTTCAAAACGGAACTACCAAACAGATCCTAAAACTTGGAACTACTCTGTATAACTTAAAAGGTGACAACAAATCTTAATATTTAACAAGTGGGTGAACAAGTCATGTTATTTTCTATGAGAACATAACCTAATTGGTGACAATTATGCAGGTTAATCCAATATGTTTAAACTTCTGCATGGCAGCACATTTGGCAGAATATGTAAAATTCAAAGCTGAATGTCTTTTCCAAGGTTTCTGAATGCATTAATAAATCAAAGAATAATTTTGAGAATGGAAAATGATGAAGCACCAGAACAAGGCCTATAATGTTTGTGGGCTGCTCATAGTAGACTGGTATTCTGCTATGTCCTTTCTCCAAAATTAAATTCATCATATCCCTGCAACAATGGAAGTAGTAAAACCACTAGATAAGTCAGTATTTAACATATTTCGCATCTTGAGGTAACCCAAAACGTTAACACTACCTGTCCAGTGTCGCATTAATATCTATTGCAAAGGTTTCAGATATAGGTGTCATGGCATCTCTTGCTGTTTTTTCATGAAGTTCAAGAGCGCCCGCAATTATAGTTGTTTCATCGTGTGTGAGCTCTCCACCTTTACCTGCCTGCGTAAAAATAGACAACCCACAAAAACTCAGAACCTTTGCAAATAATGGAGAGTTTGCATACTGTAGTGTATTCACAATTTCACATTTTAAGGATTCACAAAATTTGAATGATAAACAGAATATGAATGATGACGTCATCATTAGTAGAAGCATTGCAAGAAACATGCATTAGTTGCATACCTCATTCCCATGCAAATTAACCAGCGTTTTCAATTCAGCTCGCCTGAAAAGTGCTTTATTCTCGTGACCTAGCAGGAAGTCCAGCAGCTGAAAACCATGGGAAAACAGTGACTAAATTGAAATGTCAATATATTTCAAACGCCCATTTTAGTAAAGATCAGATGCTAACAACCGGCAAAAAGAATTTAGAGTTGTGAAAATGTAATTTTTTTTCATGAACCATTAAGGGTCCATTAGGAACTGTGAAAATTCTACAGAAAGATAATAGGACAATAAGTAGAGGAGAAATTAAAAGGAAAGAAAATGTGTTCGGTAGAAGGGAATAAAGAAAAAAGTGGTTTGATCAAAACATGTCACTTATAGATGTTTTTCACTCAATTAGTTCATATTTTTTTATTATTTACTCCCTGTCCAATAGGTAAATCCTAGTGCACTATTCAACAGTCAAACTCAGTCTTCTTCATTATATATTTTCATCAATCGTTTCTTAAAATAACATAGTCAAGTCACCTCTATTTTATATATAGATTTTGATGCAGCTTTTAAAATATAAATTATATTTTTAAATTTTACAATATTTAAACGAATTGAATTAAAAATAACTTCAATTGAGCTTCGCTAGCCATAATTGGAATCTTCCACTCAGATGGAGGGAGTAACACCTAAAAACTCTTAACACATGAAAACTTTTAAGTAGTTCATCCAAACTTAATTTTCCTTGGAGTTTTCCCTTTCAACACATTTTCCAAGTTCCAAACATAGCCTAAACAACTTCGAAGGGCATGCCTGTGGACTATCCCCCCCTTCTGTCCTGAGATCCATGGTTGGAATTCACCTCCTCCCAAGAAGCAATGGAAAATACACCTAATTATCAGCTTTCCCAGAACACTCATTGTGTGGGAGTTCCTAAATTAAGTCACTATGCTCTTTTTAAGCATTTATCAACTTTAGCAATATAAGTGAACACATAAGCTCTTACCTTGCTAATAGGATATGCAATTGGGAAGCATATCCAGACAAGAATGCGGACAATGGGGGCTGTAAAAGCACCAATTGCCAATCCATATCTCGAACAAACTGACTGCGGTATGATCTGAACAAGTTGCTAATATCAGTCGGTGTACATAAATATAAAACTTTCACTTTAGCGAGGCAGTAGATACCCTCTCCGTTCGGCAATTACTATGTACAATTTACGAGTTTGTGGGCTTCAAATTGTAACACTACCAAACATGATATTCTTACCTCACCAAACAAAAGAATCAATGTGACAGATATGAGGATAGCACCCCAAGCTGTTACTAGACTGTCAAGGAATATTGGAAGTGTCTGAAAAAAGAGAGACATGTTTCACTTTTAATATCATAATCAAAAGCATAAAGGTATTTTATTGGAAAAAAAAGTTAAAAACTCTCAATTGTTTTTATATGTACCTCCATGGCTGCAGCATTGCAAATGAGGAGTGTGCATAGCAACAAGTGTTGATTTCTTACTACTGGTAATATCTTTGCTGATATCACAAGTGGAGACAAGATTAAAAAACAAAAAAATGCATTTATGAAATATGACGTGTAAGTTCAAGTGCTAACTAGGCCAGGCTAGTTACCACTTGCGGAGGAGTGTTGGAGTTCCCACATCGGAAAATAAGGATAAGTATCACTTGCATATAAAGTCGGGATCCACAATTCTAACCCAAAAGCTTAAGCTTGTGGTTGTGGCCCAGGAACAATTATTTATATTTTAACACGCCCCCTCACGTGCAGGCGTAGTCTTTTTGAGCCTTGCATGTGAAACTTTTAATTTTTTTTTTAAACTGGGTGGCGTTGAGTTTCGAACCCGTGACCTCTTAGTCAACGAGGCTCTGATACCATGTCAAGGAACCAACTCAACCAAAAGCTCAAGCTTGTGGTTGTGGCCCAGAAATGATTGTTATATACTTTAACAGAGAGCACTACCAACGCAATTATGAAAGACAATGTTTATTTTTGTACAATAGTATCAAGCCGCCAAATTTTCAGCCACACGGACTTTAATGTGGTGTATCAAAAAAAACCATTTCTAACTATTTTACTCGCCCTTTGAATCGATAAGCTATCTGCCTATCTATACGCGATTCAAATGCAACACAATAATTACACAAAATGATACACCAGTGTAAATGCTAGGCTACCTGCCCTAACCATCATGAACGACAAGCACATCAATGATAGAGAATAGCATAAAGATTTTCTAACTTGCGCCTTGTTAACTCATACCATACCCAATATAAGCCTACATATTTGGCATTGGACTAGTACTACTCATAGGGTTGATCTTTTAGGGAGTAACTGAATATTTAATATGATGATAATAAGCCCAAATGAAGAGTTTGATATCAGTAAATCTCTACAATGAGTGAGTATAAAGACTTCAACACTGGTCTTCTCTTATGAGCTCAAACTTTAGACATGTAGAACTCCTTGAACACTTTTGAATATAAGAGAAATTATCGATCCAATTGAATAAGATACCAAATGAGTTAACTGTTAAGCATAACTAAAAGCCAATACCAAGCAGGTAATCAAGTTCATTGTAATAGACACAGAATAATTATATCTTACCTGCATGTTTACGGTCTTGCGGAGTTCCAGACTTGGCAATTACTTCAAGATCAACCAGACTCAGTGACATGAGCCCTAGCGTGAGTCCAGACATCAAACCGGCAAAAACAACCAGAAGAACGATCAGAAGGATGTGAACGAAGAACTGCGTCTCGCAACATCTGTACTCCACCGCCATCAAAATCACTAACCGAGAACCAGGAGCCCCGGAAGTAAATTGGATGCTAGAGAACCGATGAGCCGCAGTCTATCGCCTCCATCTCTCGGCCTCACCAAATAGAACGAAACTAGTCGGAATTTCGGAGATGAAATTGAAGCCCGCAGAGAAAATCAACGGGCGCGTGATTGCACGAATATGTATGCCCGACGGAAATTGCGGTGACGTTGACTGTCACTGGCGCTTTATTGTGGGCGGCGCCGTCCTTGACGCGGTGGTAGCGATGCTCTTTGGAGCTCCCAGAAGGCGAATCACCGGAGGTGCAGATTCGGTTCTACACTTTTGTTTGATTGTTTGATGAGTTAGAGTATTAATTTATTATTATTTCTTCTTTAACTTCTCCGTGTCCCACGAGCGTCTGGAAGCACGAGTAGTGTGTGCTTGAAGCTGAAGAAGAAAAGAAAATGGCTGGCTTTTTGTCATCCTCCCTCTTTCCTCCTCGTGACTCATGCCTTCCGGTATCTAGAAACTCTTTTTTTAATTACTCCGTATATGAATTAAGTTAGGGGTACACCAACATTGGTGTGTTGGCTTGGTGTACACTTGGGATACCTCATGTTGGTGTACCTAGAGGTGGGCATTCGGGTCCAGGAACCGCGAGTCGGAACCGAACCGCCAGGTTCGAGCCGAGTTAGGTCCGGGTCGTCATTTCAAAAATTTAAAACGGTCCGGGTCGGTCTGATTCCTCATTTTGAAATTATTTGGGACCCGGACCGGACCGTTTTTTAAATATTAATATTATTTTTAATATTTTTTTAGTAAATATACGGTATATTCACATATTCCAATTAATTTTAGTAACTCTTTCAGTCCTTCCATATTCTAATTGTTTTTTGCAGGTTTTTTGGATTTTGTAGAAGTCATGAAGATTGTCAATTTTGCTTTTTTTTGAAACATATCGATATTATAATGCCAAAATGTGGTTGTTTTCTTTTTGTTGTTGTTGTTGGATGATCATGTGGTGTACACTTTACTCTCATGCCCCTCTTTGTCATTGTTTTTTTTCCATTTATTCTTCTTTTTTGAACTTTGAAGGCATTATTCTATAATTTCTATTTGTTTTCAAGAATGTTAGTATTATGATAGGTTCGGACCCGTTGACCCGTGGAATCGGCCCGTTTCAAACAAGCCGGGTTAGGTCCGGTTCCAATTTTAAAATTTTGAAAACCCGTTCCGGCCCGGACCATTTTAAAAAAAACAAGCCGAGTCCGGTTTATATAAATTTGGGCTCGGACCGGCCCGTGCCCACCCCTAGGTGTACCCCTAGCATTGTCCTTAATTATATACTTTCTCCGTCCTAAAACTTTCTTCCCAGAGAATTATTTCAACTTCACGGGAATTTATATTTATTTGTGTTTTTTCATGGCTATATGATAAAATAAAATATTCTTGTCACCACTTATTTTCTTGAATTTTTGATGTAGTTTTTAAATATGTATGTTTTATTTTTTTAATTCTATACCAATATTTAAATACTCCGTAAAATAGATTGAAAAAACTTGGGATTTTTCTTTGTTTTGCGCAACAGGAAGAAAGATATAAGACGGAGGAGTAAATAAATAAATATGGGGAACAAAGTGAATAAGGAGAAGGTTCACATTAGGAACCAATATCATTGGATGATTCAGGGGCACTCTGATGCCCCGTTCGTAAAATTGATGAATCCTACACCCCTAACTCCCCCGGTAAATCCCACCATCTCGTCCCGCTCTGAACAAACCCCCCACCCCTCCCAATTGCACTCAACAAGTCTATTTTGACTTTGGAGTCAAATTTTGACTCCAAAGTCAAAATAGACTTGTGGGGTGCAATTGTAGGGGTGGGGGGTTGCTCGGGGCGGGGCGAGATGGGGGTTTACCGGAGGGTTAAAGGGGTAGAAAGTGTCAATTTTATGAACGAGACACCGGAGTACCACATGTCATCTCATGACATTTGTTTCCAATGTCATTGGATCCAAGGTGAATATATATATATATATATATATATATATATATATATATATATATATATATATATATACTCCTTTATCCTATAAACAACTTTTCGTTTAGATTTACGAGATTTGACTGATTTTATTTTCAATTCAATTTATTTGAATCTAAAATTAAAAATAAACTTAATGCATTTAAAAACTACATCAAAACTTCTACAAAACAAGATGACAAAACTATATTATTTTATTAAATGCTAGTAACTAACAAAAATAGGCAAAAAAATGATTTATGTTTGACCGTATGAATAGTAACTGAGAAGATAATTTCAGGACGAATAGAGTATATATTAGAAGTATATACTCCAGTAGGTATTTATAAATGAGAGAATTTGTGTCTAGCGAGAGTGATATTTCAAGAATGAGTTAGAATTCGATAAAAAAGTACAATTTGTATAATGAAAAAAATACTGTCACATTTTTGTTACATCATAAGAATTAAGAGATTGTGTTTTCTGTATTGCTAATATCTATATGTAAATACGTAAAATGAGTGTTAATAATTTGGTGGTTCATAATTTTTTTTAGATTGTTATAGTGGGGATTTGATTGAGGTCTTCTTGAATTGAGCATTCTTTTTATTTTGTTTTTTTCTTTCTTTTTTGGAGTCCTATAAGAGATTTGGTAAGTACTAAAGCCACACACGCAATTTATATATTTAAGTCGATCACAAAGGGATGGACTAATGACATTTTCAATAAGAATAAAATATGTGATCTATTTAAGTATTTTCTATTTTTTAATTAAAAGTTACTCCTTTTTATTGTCTCAGAATCACTTTATTATTCTATTAAAAACTACAGAGTTCATTTATTTTTGTTAAATTTTACCTTCATCACATCATATCAATTTTTTAATAACTTATTAATCACATTTCACTTTTAACTATTACATCAAAAATATTTTGAAAAAGTAAAAACCAAAATAACTACAGAGTACATCTTAAATTTCATAAAATTCAGAATATGATTGAAATTAAGAGACGCAAGGAATACCTGACTTTGTGAGCTATGCTTTTTTAAGAAACTGGGAATAAATATAGTGTTGTAATGAGGGTGACAACAGTTGCTGGTTTGCCCGAGAGGTTAAGGGGGAAGACTTAAGATCTTCTGCACATAAGTGCGCGTGGGTTCGAACCCCACAGCCAGCATTTTTTTTGCCTTACCGCCTTAATTTTTTTTTTCTTTTTTTGTAGTGTCCTTAAATTTTGGCATCAGGATTTGATGGGCCGGAGCCGGGTGGAATCCGATCTGGATCGCCGCCGACAGGAACGACTCAGATTCTCCTTCCATAATTTCTCTCCCTCCCAGTTTTCTTCTACCCAGAAACAACAACGAATCTTCCATCCATAAGAAGGAAAGCCCTTCAGATCTAAGCCTTCCTCTTCTTCTTCTTCTTTGAAGGTATCACTCATCTATCTCTTCTTCACTAAGTCCGAACTCTAAATCTAATAAAGTAATGATCTCATCCCCAATTTTCCCCTTTTTCACTTAATGTTTTACTGAACTTATGGAAGTTGAAGGGAATGCCATTTCTTTCTTTCTTTCTTTCTTGTACTGTGCCCTCGTCTTTCCTGCTTCTGCATTTACCTTTTTTACCACCTCGCTTATTGATATTTGCCGTGATTAATTCTCAGTTGTGCCGTTAATGATGTACTCCTTAATCTTTTGGATTGAAATATCTCTTCGCTACTATGCTTATTGAGCTGTTAAAGTTGTTCTCTTTTGGATATTCCGTAGCTTAATGTCATTTCAACTGGGGAGTATTGAACTTGCAATCTATTGGATTGAGATCTCACAATGCTTTGTCTTTCCTGCCTCTGCATTTGCCTTTTTACTAGTTTACTTTTTTTCTATTTACCGTAGTTAATGTTCACTTGTGCCATTAAAGATGCGATCTTTTGGATTTAAATGTCTTGTTACTATGCTTATTGAGCTATTAAAGTCGTCTCTTGAAAATTACATAGCTTAATGTTCATTTGAGCTATTAAACATGTACCCGGAGTAATCTTTTAGATTGAGATCTCACATTGCATTTAGCTTTTTACCGCTTCACTTATTGCTATAAATGTTCAATTGTGCCATTCAAGACTTTTGGATTGAAATATCTTATTACTATGCTTGTTGAGCCATTAAAGTTGTCTTTTGGATATTACTTAGCTTAATGTTCACTTGAACTATTAAACTTGTCATCTTTTCGATTAAGATCTCACATTGCCGTGATTAATGTTCAATTGTACAAGTAAAGTTGTAACCCTTTGTATTAAAGTTTATACGCCATAATGCCCTGGGTTGTTGAATCCAGTTGCTTGGGTCGGATGTTCTTACTCTTTTAACTATTGTTTTTTTGTGGTACCAGATTTTATCAGGGAAGCTTAATTGAAGTTGATTTGCAATCGAGTGGCAATTTCTCTAATAAACAGTACCCCATATCTCAATTATAATCTGTCGTTAAGGTAGACACTCACTCACTCGGTTTAAGCCGACTATAGAAATCATGCATTAATTGAAAAAGAAAAGAGTGTTAAAAGTTGATGTACTTGGAAACTGTGAGTAAATGTTGTTTTAGACACATGTGATAATCTCCAAACCAAAAGCAAACAAAATGGAAAGAAGAAGCAGAAGTCAGGCTTGCTTTTATTGAGAAATCATTGATGTATTGTTTTTAATGTAGGAGCTGTTAAGCGTCATGAACAAGCATTTATGTTTATCTTTTATTGTGTTAGGTCTTAGCTGCCGATTGTAACTTTATTACAATGTCTAGAAGACCGACTGCATTGCATCGTCTGGGGGATCCGGTGAGCATACCATTTATGGGCTCGTCGCATCCAAAATCACGGCCATCTTCTTTTTTATACATTGGGATTGTGGTTGTGGTAAGTATTTACTCTAAGGTTTTTAAATATTACTCGAAATACAATATTTTAGCTTGGGGTGAATAATGAACTAAATCAAAATTTCATGTTAAACTTGATTTACTTCATACTCACAATGAAGTTTTGGGTAGTAAATGCATGCATCAATGCATCTCAAGTGTAATGGTAAGACACTGCATATATCTTGAGTTGGGATTATACTGGATTGTAGTATTTGTTGTTTTTTGCTCATTCTCAATTAATTTATGCTATGTTTGGATAACAGAAAGTTCTACGGAATTGGGAAGTATCAAAAAAAAGTTATTTCCCTTCTCATTTTTCTTTCGTCCAATTTTTTTCCTCTATTTTTTCCTCTATGTTTCTTTCCCTTGTGGAGTATTTTCCAATTTTGAAAAGAGCTCTTGATTTAGAGACAACAGTGCTGAAAATGCATTTCATAAAACTTTCAGGGTGCATTGCTGATTATAGGTTTCTTATATCATGGTTCAGGTATAAACTGATCTTTGTATTCAAAGTTTGTATACACCTAATAATCTTCATAGCCAATGTAATTGGTTATTTTTTCTGTGG